GTTGGTGGAATCTTAACTGGGGCTGAAGATTTTTCTGGTAATTTACCACTAATCAGGGAAACTCTTGGGACCTTACCTTAGACCGCTGGGTTTCCTTGGGCCCAGAAAAGCTTGAGAGAACAGTTTTGACTGTCTTCTCGATCTCTTCTTTCCTCTCTTGATTGACCACAGAATCTCAGTATTTGCAGGTCCCTGGTACAGAGCCATGACCTGTTGTATCAGGCTCATGGTGGCATGTTAGTGGTGCATTGAGTAAAGTGGGGGGTTAGACACTAAACAGGTATACAGTTGACAGTAGATGTTTCCAGTCTGAATATCAGGAAAACACTGACTGAATGCTACGAGAACACTGAATAATTATTTGACCTCTAATGTAAATGGCTAGGGAATGCAAGGAAGGTTTAAAATAATATAAAAAGTACCTCTGGAAAATGTTCAAAATATTGTTAAGGATAAAGAAATTGTCTGCATTATTTAGTGAGATTGTTTCAAAGTTTTCTGACATTATATTTGCTCTGTTTATTCTAAGCAAAAAAAAGCAAATTGTTTTTCCACTCTAATAAAAGATACTTCCAATTCTATTCATGTTTTCAAAAGAATAAACTGTGCATTAGCAATAAGTTTAGCACTATGATATCTTCTAACAATATGCATTTACAAAGAATGTGGAGAGCCTGGGACTAACAGGGCAGTATGTCTAACAGGTCAAGTATGCATTGAGGAGGTAAGATGATTACATTTATGAATTGATAATATTGAAATCTATTTTGCTTGTTAATGTTTATCTAATCAGACATGTGAAAAATGCTAAATTTTTGTGAGATAATTTTTCCATTTTCCTAGACTCCCTAGAGTGGATGTTATTACTAAAAGATACTTAAAGTGATATTGAAGCTGATATTTCTAATATTACTTTGCTTTATATCATAACTACACTGTAAATATGAATCAATTAAGTTCCAACTTTTGTTTTATATTGAATATGATTATAGTGGTGGGAAATGAATTTGTTTCTTTACACATGAAACTCCAGTTTATTTCAGGGTTCCGAGCATGATATTTTGTTCACTTTAATTCAATATATGTCCATCTTAAACATAATCCCTGTAAAACTTTGTTTGATATTTGATATAACTAAGCTATAAATCCTGGTTTTTACAAACCATGTTGTTTTATTTTCTATTATAAAATTGTTAACTGTTAAATAATATTATTAATTTTATCGATCTGTTTAGGCAAAGAAGTGTCAAGGTAAAACATTAAGAAAATATTCATTTAAGTATTGATTCTCTTCTTCTATTTTCTCGTTCTTCCAATCAAATAGAATTAAGACTGAGAATTACAATTTATAAAGAAGTAAGGTATAAAAGTAAAAAATGCAAAATGTCTTTTTTTTTAATTGAGGAGATTGTGTTAAATTTAGATGAAAGTAAGCTATACTTGCTCATTTTATACTTTCAAGGTTTTTGAATTTGAAAGTAATATTTATACATAAGAAGCAGGTCAAAGAAAAAAAATTGTATTAATAAATTTAATTTCATTGTAGCTTTAAAAACACAATTTTAAAGAAGATAAGATTGTTAGATTTGTGTTGAGCCTTTGACAAGATACCCTGTGCTTACATATTTCAGGTCGAAAGGTAAACTGTAAAAAAGTTGGAAGAGGGTGCTGTGGAGATAAAGGAACTTATGGAAGAAAATGCAGGAAGGTATTCAGTGAGACCACAACCATTAAATGGAAAGATTACTCTTATAGACTCATAGTCATAACATGTTTTTAATTAGGAAAATATGAACATAAAACACAGCAATAGAGCAGTAAGGAATGTGGTTTTGTTTAATTACAATTGGTTTGATTTATGAAGACTGTCTTGCCTTTGTTTATGCTGGCTTTTGTACATTGACTACACTGTAAATATTAAAACGTAATAAAAAAATAAGAATCTTTGGAAAAGAATATCACAGAGGTTTTTTTAATAAAATTATCCCTGAATTATGAATATTTTGAAAACGGCAAAAATAAAAAAAAATCCACATTTTTTTAAATCATTTTTTTAAGAAAAACTGAATGCAGAACAATATTTTTAAAACTGTTAATAATGTAAGTCATTATTATTAAGAAAAAGTGGATATAAATATAACAATTTCAGGATACATATTCACGCCACCTCTATTTTAGAATAGACACCACCTAGCAGCCAAATGCGGCAGCTCTCGAATCGTAATTTCTGGATTAAATAATCAGATTTTTTGAATAATTTGAAAAAACTTCCACATTAATTATACAAATATCAATTTAATTAAATAAAAACACGAACAGAAAAAAACAAATAGGTAATTAATTAAGATTTATTGAATGTATATGTAAACTGTACAAAATAGCATTTGACATTCTCCTGTTCCCCCCCCTCCCTACAGCCCCGCCCTTGTTGTACTGGTTCTAAATTTATCACATGCAGTTTGGGCGCATTTACTGTAGAAAAGATTATTTATACTTATTGTACTGAGGAAAAAAATTATAACATACAGTAAATATAAAAATTCATTGAAATACTCCATACTTAATAACATGAAATACCATTCATTTGATATTTAATTTAAAATATAACTATAATTAAATTGTGATTTGAAAATCAGAAAAAAAATATAATAATGAGATTCAGTGGTAGGCGATAATATCAATATAATGGAGACAACTTTTTAATTCAAGTTTTATTGTTAACAAGCTTTTTTTCTGAATTTCAAGGTTACATGTAATTAAAGAGAAGTCATTTAAAAGCCTGTTATAAAGCTCGATACAAATTAAAATTTAAACCATTGTCTTGGTATTATTGCACCACTGTATTATTTCACAAGTACAACACTATTCATTCATGCTGATGATGATTGATGCTAACTTGTTTTACCAGCGATTGTGATATTTGTTAGGAATAAAGAATCTAACATCTAATGCATTCACTGAAAAAAAACATCGTTTTATCTTCTTTTTATGTCAGTGGTGCAGAGGCCAGCTATATCTTCAAAATTGTTGAGTGATTTAAAATTCGGTGATATTGATGGACCAAACCTCTGTAGAGTAAAAAAGTAGATATTAGTTCCACATTTATTGAAAATATATTTCGGTCTGGGTTCACCCTCGTCCGTTCTCAAGTTAAATTTCTTCACAATTGTCGAGCATGTATAACAGCAGTTTTCACTGAAGTCAGTAGTGAACTAATTAAAAACTACCTGTTCTGCTAGGCCCCTATGCGTGCTAGCAGGCGATTCCTGGGTGAGCCGGGGATGGGGGGGGGGGTTGGAACGCTGTAGCTGCAGCATGGCCTGGGCCGGGGGCAGATATACGCGTTCACTGTCTCACTCTCTATCTAACTCTCAATCTATCCTAAAATTTTTATTTTTTGATAAGAATCTTTAAAAATTTTTAGCTTGAGATTAACAAACTTTCTTTATTTCATTTCACATCAGAATATAATTTTTTTTAATTAAAAAAAATTACAAATTAATGTCAAAAGAATTTAATTTTAATCAACAATGAAGGTATATGTTTTTACAATATTTTTGTAATTTTTCAAATTTCATTTATTGAAAAAACATATCTTTTACAAAAAACTTAATAAAAGGAAAACTATTTTTAGTTTTCAAATAAACATAATTTTTGAATATTATGTTAAAAAAATTAAATTAAGAAACAAATTTTAAAAAATGTTGCTGATGTATATTTACAGTGTAACACTGTCAAACTATTTTTCCATATAAACTTTTCATAATCATTAATAAGAACTGATTTAAAACCTGAAAATAACTAATAAGATTATTTTTAAGGGTGGTTGGTGTGTACGTGGGAATGATAGAACAGGAAAATGTATTGGAGGTGAATTGTAAATTTTGAACTTGTTTAGATTGGCCAAATAGTAGAATCATGCTAATAAGAACAATTGTAATGGCATTTTAATTTTAATTGCAAAATTAAGCTCAAAAGAAATTTTTTTACTTTTGATCAGCAAGCACAACAACAACAACAACAACTACTACAACTACTACAACTATAACAACTTCAGTGCCATGTGTCCAATTATGTGAGGCAGTAAGTTAATAATTTAAAATTAGTTACTTTCCCATGTTTATTTTAACTAATGAAAAGGAAAGATAGTTGTGAGGATCTGGGGTTAAATAAAAGGGTCAAACCCATTAATTATTTTCTTCCTTTTAACTAATATGTGTATATTGTACATTATACATTGTATTGTACAAGAGTTGACAATATACTCTTTATCCTTAAACCTTGTTCATCCCTTCTCTTTAACATTTTCTCCCAGAGAACAATGTAAATATATATTTTGTTCGCCCAAGGGAGAGAAAGTCATGAATTGCAAATTTTCAAGAGACAAATTCACGCATTTAAAAGATGAATGTAGCATTTTCATGAACAAAGTTTTAACAAAAATACATAACTTTTTAGCATGTAAATATAGTAGATATTATCAACAACACAATTGGATATATGTACTAATTAATAATTAACTGTATAGTTTAATCAGTTAATAATGGTGCTTAAAGAATGGGATTAAACTATGAATTTATTTAAAGTGAGATTTTCCTTCAGGAGAACTGCACTGTGCCGAAAATTGACTTTTCCTAATGCTTTCTCAACTTTTTTGATAATATTTCATCACTTGCTATTGCTCGTTAAGAAATGTCATCAAACAAGTTTCGAAAACACTTGGAAAAGTAAATTCCTGGTTAAGTTTGCAGTTAGTTCTACTTAGTAATTTATCGCTTAAAGTAAATAAATAGTTGCAATCAATTTATTTCCCTTTCATAATCACTAACTAGGACTTTTGATCTATTCTGAAACAACTTTGTAACAAAAATGGTGTAAACTGTAAATATACCCATAAATAAGTATCTACAAAATCCATTTTTCGGTATTTTGTCTTTTTTAAAAAAAAAAAAAAATTTCTAATAATGTGTTTTATTGAAAGATTGTATACTTGTTTAAAGTTAATAATCAAAGGTTTTAGATTTTGAATAATTTAAACTTTTAAAATTATTTGGACAAATTGATTCAACTGTATTTACAGAACAAATATCTTATTCCAAAAAAAAGCAGATTGCACAATTTTTGCAATTTTTTTTGCTAAATTAGGGGATTTGCACATTTTCAGTTATTTTTGAATATAGGTACATTCAGCATTTCAATTTACTTAGTCAATAAATAGTTGGATTTCTGCAAATTTCCGATTTTTTTCGCAGAGCCAAATTTAACTATCTAGCTCAATTTTTTAAATATTAATCAATGATAAATTTCACTTGACAAAATTTGAAGAAAAATAGTACACAGTTAGATTTGGCTCTGATGCTCTTACAAATTCTGATAATTTGACAATTCTTGAGTGTTATGGATTTTATTCTTATTTTCTGTTTTTTTAAAGAAGATTTAAACTTTTCTATGTAACCAAACCCCCCCCCCCCCCTCCGTGGTAACCAGAATGAATAGTTTGTGTATAAAGCATGATGGAAAATTCCAGAGGTCAAAACAACCCAAACCTGCCCCCCCCCCTCCTACTCTTTTTAATTTATTTTTTTTTAGTATTATGCAAATGATGGTGTATATATTGAGGCTCCAACTCCTCCCCAGGAAAATCCAATAAACTTTAATAGATTAAAGGGACTGTAAAGGATAAATGAAAGGGGGTATAGGCTGACTTGATCGCAACCCTTGAAAGTTCTATTTGATGTTCCTAGCTCAAGAAGTTGATATACAACTTTGTCAGTTTTATATGAAAATTCACATATATACAATATTGTATAAAAGTAGTAGGTTTTACAGATCATATTCAGCAAATATGCAAATGCAACCAATCTATAATGGCAATATTAGCTTTAATCATGCGACATACCTAAATTATCCTGTGGTTAAATATTTAACTCGCCAAAATCGACGAGTTAAAATTTAAACACAGGGTTAAAATCTTGAAATCCTGCATTTTCCCAATTTGTCTATTATTCAATCATCATTCAGCTGAGAAAGTGGCATTCAACTTTAGGATATATTTAAAAGTGAAAACCCAAAATACGGTTGTATATTGAAATATGTTTTGTTTTCGGTTACGTAAAAACAGCTGATTAGCGATGGTTACGTAATATTCTCCGTAAATCTTTTTCTCTGATTGGTTCAGATTTTTCCCAGGAAATTCAAATTTAAAATTGAGAAAGTATAATTGTTAACCATTAACTTTAAGACCTCCGTGTAATGTCGTCTTCAACTTAAAATCTCCTCTCGGAGAAAGCCAAACCAAATTTTCAGCCCGCATTCTCTTTGTACTCAGTCCCACAGAACTTAAAACATTTTCGTTTATTGTGAAATCATTAAAGTTAAGCAAGAATATTTTCATATGAAGCATTAGTGAATTTCGTTAAACATTCAACTGTAATTTTTCAGAAGTTTAAAAACGTATTTCAATACTGATCAACAATAAGTCTCCCCCTATCACACCTAAATAAATCGTAGGATTTTTTCTATTATTAATGTTCATTATAACATTGTGCAAGTAACCATGACCTATAATTTATATTATTTTTAGGAAATAAAGCTTTTGTTATCGATTTTCTTGAGACGGGGTTACTCTGTTGTGTGTATTTGCGGCAAACTGGGAAAGAATTGTCCGGGGAGAATAAACATCCCCCACCAGAATCCTGACAGGCCTATTACTCAGATTTGTCTAGTGTGTTGCTGTTATCTGTCAACAATAATATTTAAGTAGCTACTCATTATTTTACAGAACTTTTAACCTCAAACTTAAAATTCGCGCATTCTTTAGTTTTAGACTCAGGATGAACTTATTTAGTCATTATGAGTAGAAAAAAGTTGGATTTCTTTCATATAGTACATTATAACTAATATATATAATCCTTTGAATATTTACCTTAAACTTTAACTGTGTGATAAATACATAATGCGATGGTCTTAATCATGTGATATCGATAACATCATGTAGGTATTGAATTACGTCAATTTCTGTTAACTTTGTAACTTGCGTTATTGAATAAAGTTAGAGAATTTAGACTCTGCTTTGATTACTTTAATGCAAAGTAGTCTTTGTTCGACATTCAAAGAACGAGTGTAGATCTTGCTAATTGTTTTGGCATTGATTTCCGCTTCTTTCTGTTTGACATCAATTTGGCATTGAATCAAATTTGGTTTGAAAGATAGCTAGGGTGCTTGTTGAATTATATGAGTTGAGATGTGGCTTGTGTGCAAGCCTGAGAGTTTTTCCTAAGTTATTGGATTCTTGTGTCCCTGTGTGGCATTTAGAGCCGGTCCTGGTTGAGTATAAAGTCTAAGCTTGAGTCCTATATTATTGGATGCTTGTGTCCCTGTGTGGCATTTAGAGCCGGTCCTGGTTGAGTATAAAGTCTAAGCTTGAGTCCTATATTATTGGATGCTTGTATCCCTGTATGGTATTTAGAACCTGTCCTGCGCCCGCGCTTTAAAAACTTCAGCTCGAGTCGTAATTCCTTAAACCTGACTTTAAGACCAAATGTTCGGCCCAACAGCTTGTGTCACGTGATTGATAGCTGCGAGATCTTAGGCTCGACTTAAGGAGTTAAGCCCAATGAAAATAAAACCGACCTTGGTTGGTTTTAGTGAAGAATAAGGCTCAATGTTGGGTCTTCTTCTCATCAAAACCCGGAATGCGCCAATTCCAACTATGAAAATCCGCCAAATACAAAATTTAACCGGTTTTATGAACTAAACTCTGTTGAAAATTAGATGCAATTTTAATCCGAAAGCCCGAGCCGTAAATAAGGCTCAACAACAGCTTAGACCCGAGTCGTATTTTCTTGAATTTTTTAAATCGCCGGCTCTGGTTGAATATAGAGTCTGAGATTTGTCCGAAGATATTGGATGCTGGTGTCCCTGTGTGGTATTTAGAACCTGTCCTGGTTGAATATAGAGTCTGAGATTTGTCCTAAGATATTGGATGCTGTTGTCCATGTGTGGCATTTAGAGCTGGTCTTGTTTGATTGTGTAAAACTGCTACACCTGGATAGATATGTCCTTATAAAAATGTTATGGTGTAGGTATTTGCTATTTACCGTTCATTCTTTTATAGATAGTTCCAATATTTTTAGGAACCTGTTCTATGTGTTTGCTCTTTTTATTGGAACAATAACATCCTTCTTGATAATTCTGTTTGTTCCAGTAAAAGAACGATCTTTCCCTGAGAACAAAGCCTATCTAAATTTTTTTTAAGTGGTTTTAACTGACAGTTAACAAACGGCTTGAAAAACGTCCAAACATGCCCAGCCCTAACCATGTGACTTTCTATGTCTGACTTTTGCTTATTGGATTTCAGATCTGTAACAATGTTTGTGGGCAAATTTATGGTGACTATAATGATAAATATAAATGATTTTTCAAGTAAAATCTGGACAAAAATATGGTTTATAATAATATAAGATTGAATACCCATGCATTCTTCTTCACCTCTTAATGTGATTCCTTTTCTGTAACCTTGAAATTATTTGACCCGAAATAAATGTGAATATAAATATATTGAAAATTCATATATATATTTATATATATATTTATATAAATCCAAAATAAAAATGTTAGAACTCTATTTAATAGTGTACTTTAGATTAAGTTTTTTTTTTTTGTGAGATTCTGAAAGAAATCGAAAATTGGCAGATTTTCTTAAATTTATCATTTCTTAGAATTAAAATATGGAATACTTCAGAATAGTATATAGATTAATAAATGCAATTTGACCCTTTTTTGAAATTAGCCTGGAAATTCTAATCCCCCCTCAGAGGCGTATTTAGAGGGGGGGGGGGGGCTACGGGGGCTGCGGCCCCCTGGTTCAGTGAAAGTAATGGTTTCCAATGTAATATATATTGTTCATGTTCAGTGAGGGGCTCAGAGCAAGACCCAACCCGAGATTATTTGTTAGTTTGGCGGGTATCGGAAAATAAAGCGGAGAAAACTGTTAAGCTCGAGTTAAGACCTCCTCCTAAGAGATATTTATACCAATATACTCCCGCCGCCAATCGAGGCGTGATCGGAACATGGCAGAAGTGTTCTAACTCCAAGCTATTTATTAATTTATTCTTTACATGATTTTGTAAATATGTGTACTCTATTTTGGGTCATTATTTGATTCTCGTTGGCATGTTGTGATCTTGCAGTTCAATATATCTGATATTTTCATTAAAAGTAAGAAATGATACAAAATCTTTCATTATTTTCTTCATTTCTTCATTTTCAATTTTATGAAGATCAAAGATTTTTTCCTGCAACTAAGATTCCATTTTTTATGAAAACTTTAATTTAAAAAACACACTTTCAGATTTAATAATTTGCTTTTTGTATAGATGAACTGTGTAGACAAAGTTGAACCTCTTCCATTTGAATCCGGGCAGGAGAGAAGGGGTTCAACGATCGTTTTTCAAAAAGCGATCGTTTTTCAAAAACAATCGTATAAAAAACGGTCACAAATCGTTTAAAAAAGATAGTTTTCTAAAACGATTGTTGTTTCTTTTCTAAAAGTTCAAAACGAGTGGGTCGTTTTTAAAAACGATATGTTTTTTTTCAAAAACGAAACAATCGATTTTGAAAACTATTGAAAAACAAAACAAAAAACGATCGTTTTCAAAAACGATTAACAACCCTACACAAGACACAGTAATTGTGTTCTGTAGCGTAAACAAACCCATTTCACGTAATCTTAATGATTGATTTAAAAACTTACTAGTAAAGTTATTCGCTTTGGAACAAGGTGATAATGCGCTTTATTATTGCTTTAATGTCGTCTTCATATTCTATATGTTTTTGGTTCTCACTGTAATCACCCGCTCTAGTAAACCGTGGGAGGACACACTTCCAGATCAAGATTTAGATGCTAGTTTAGTCGTGTCTACCTTTTTATCAAAATATCATTTAGGTCAGAAGTATAGGGAGTCCATAGGTTTCCAGATCAAGATCTTAGATCCTAGTTAAGGCTTGTCTACCTTTTTATCAAAATATCATTTAGGTCAGAAGTAGATTGAGTCCCCAGGTTTCCAAATCAAGATCTTAGATCCTAGTTTAGACTTGTCTACCTTTATCATAATATCATTTAGGTCAGAAGTAGATTAAGTCCCAGGTTTCCAGATCAAGATCTTAGATCCTAGTTTAGGCTTGTCTACCTTTATATCATAATATCATTTAGGTCAGAAGTATAGGGAGTCCATAGGTTTCCAAATCAAGATCTGAAATCCTAGTTTAGGCTTGTCTATACCTCTATATATCATAATATCATTTAGGTCAGAAGTATAGGGAGTCCATAGGTTTCCAGATCAAGATCTTATAGATCCTAGTTAAGGCTTGTCTACCTTTTTATCAAAATATCATTTAGGTCAGAAGTTTAGGGAGTCCATAGGTTTCCAGATCAAGATCTTAGATCCTAGTTAAGTTTTGTCTACCTTCATATCATAATATCATTTAGGTCAGAAGTATAGAGAGTCCATAGGTTTCCAAATCAAGATCTTAAATCCTAGTTTAGGCTTGTCTATACCTCTATATATCATGAGAAGTATAGAGAGTCCATAGGTTTCCAAATCAAGATCTTAAATCCTAGTTTAGGCTTGTCTATACCTCTATATATCATGATATCATTTAGGTCAGAAGTATAGAGAGTCCCCAGGTTTAAAAATCAAGATCTTAAATCCTAGTTTAGGCTTGTCTACATGTATGTCATAATATCATTTAGGTCAGAAGTTTAGGGAGTCCATAGGTTTCCTATTCTAGCTTTTCTATACCTCTATATATCATAATATCATTTAGGTCAGAAGTATAGAGAGTCCCCAGGTTTCAAAATCAAGATCTTAAATCCTAGTTTAGGCTTGTATACATGTATGTCATAATATCATTTATAAGTCTAAGTATAGGGAGTCCATATGGTTTCCATGTGCAACAAATTTTTTTCAATTTCACGAAAGTTTGACTAAAAGTTTATGCGAAATGATGTGCAAAATTTGTGTTATTCTAGTCCTAACGATTACTACAGTGGCACTATAAAATAATTTTGCCTCCTACTAATATACGATTTTGAATTTGTTCAGATAAGTTATACCAACTACGGATTTTTGCGAAATTACGAATGGAAACCTATTTCACAGGATATTATCCAGATCAGAATGTACTAGGTTTCCCAGGCAACATGACAGTTGGTGAATAGTCTAAAATGTTTTCTTACATAATCTGATAAATTGTTTGATATAAAATATGATGATAAGAAATACTAAAATGCAGTAATATTATAGTAAAATTGATTTCAAACAAATATATATTTGGGTAAAAGATTTGTTTAACGAAATAAACTACATGGAGTCTTAAATAACTAAAACAGTATTATGAAAGACGACAATAAAAACTTTTCACCAACAGTCATGTTTCGTTGGACACCCTGTACCAGAATGTGTACCATTTAACATGATATTACATAGAAAGTACCATTGAACATGACAATTTCTTTTTATTGTTCTGAAAAGCATGCCGGCTGCTTGATTATTAATAAAGGTCTTATCAAAAATATATACTCCTTAGTCCTTGTCCTAGTAGGGAGGGAAGGCCAAGAAGCCATGAACCCCGTGGAAAATCTCCGAACCCTGTGGAGTGGTCTCCGAACCCCGTGGAAAGTCTCCGAACCCCGTGGAGGAGGTTTTTTGAAAAAAACGTGATCAAATATAAATATTACTTGTAAATTAGCAATAATTTTCCAATTTTCTCGACATACGAACTCAATAAATATAATAATCAAGTTAAAGAAATAATTTTCATTATTGTTTTAATTGTCTTTTTCTCCAAATTTTGTTTTCCCGTAAAAAAGGGTGGATCTCAAGTATGACACTATTCATAGAATTATGTTTGTTACCTTTTATTTCCTGTTTTAAATTAAAAGGTCATTGCTTAAAATAGAAAATTAAGTTTAAATAGTAGTATACATGGGGGGGGGGCTACGGGGGCTCTATCCCCCTCCAGGATCTGAAAAATCTTTGGTTTATTTATGATTTGATGACTCTTNGTCTGTTTATACATTATGATTATTATTATTTCTACCCTTTTCATTATTATTGATATTTTTATCTTAGTAATAACTGTTGTTTATATCTAATGTATAGTATATAATTAAGACCCTAGAGGACCTAAGACCCCTAATGTATATAGTATATAATTAAGACCCCTAGAGGACCTAAGACCCCTGATGTACATACTATATAATTAAGACCCTAGAGGACCTAAGACCCCTAATGGTATCAGGAATCCCTAAACTGAAGTTACCTCCAACAGAACCAATGTTTGTAGATACAGTCTCATTTAAACAGGTAGTTTTTGATAGAATTGTATTTAAAGGGATTGCATTTAAAGGGATTGTATTTAAAGGGATTGTATTGAAAGGGATTGTATTTAAAGGGATTGCATTTAAAGGGATTGTATTTAAAGGGATTGCATTTAAAGGGATTGTATTTAAAGGAATTGTATTTAAAAGGATTGTATTTAAAGGGATTGCATTTAAAGGGATTGTATTTAAAAGGATTGCATTTAAAGGGATTGTATTTAAAGGGATTGCGTTTAAAGGGATTGCGTTTAAAGGGATTGCATTTAAAGGGATTGAGGGATTGCATTTAAAGGGATTGTATTTAAAGGGATTGCATTTAAATGAATTGTATTTAACCCTATCACAATTGGGGAGGGGGGTTCCCCCCCCCCCCCGTGGTTTCTTCTGAATAACTTAAGTATGGCTTACATAAGAACGCTAAGCTTCTTCACTGTTTCAACATCATAGTTGAAAACAAATTTAGCTAAAAAAAAAATGTTTGATGATGCATAGGGGTAGGGTAGAGAGTGGTCAAACGGCGGCTCGGTGTTTATCAGAAATGGTTGATAACTTTTTATTAATTAAAAATCCTCCCTTACACCCTAACCATTAAAGTTAGAGGCATAATTTTTTAATGAGCAGGCCTTGAAAAGTTGGACTAGGGACATGTATCACATTCCTCTATCTCAACTCTAAGGACAGAATCATAGGGGGGGGGGGAGTGTAAAAATACCCCCCCTCCCCCGGCAACTTTATTAGACAAAAATAGCCCAATCAGGATAGGGTTAAAGAGGTTGTAATAAAAGAATTGTACAGGGTGTCCCAAAAATAGCCCAATCAGGATAGGGTTAAAGAGGTTGTAATAAAAGGATTGTACAGGGTGTCCCAAAAATAGCCCAATCAGGATAGGGTTAAAGAGGTTGTAATAAAAGGATTGTACAGGGTGTCCCAAAAAACCATGGGAATTCAGTGACGAATTCGATATCGTCTTTGTTATAAATTAGCATTGCAATATCTGATTTCAAAGTCTATAATATTTTTATGTCTGCTAGAGTTTATTTTACGAATAGGATTAAAGACTGTAAAGATGTGTCTATAATGTCTCCGCAAGATGAACAGTGAAGACGGACATGTTTACTCTGTTTGTATACTGTAGTTTCCGTGTTAATTACAAAGTACAACCGTATGCAGTCAAAACATAAACAAACAAATTGTAAACATAGCAGACGAAAATCTTATGGATCAGCACAGCTTTCTCAGTAGGTATCACTATACTAAATCAAAGAATTATTTAAAAAGACGATATCGAGTTCGTTACTGAATTCCCATGTTTATTGGGACACCCTGTACTTGCTAAGCTTTGCATCAAATAATTAATGAAATTATACAGTTCTGAATCAGTCCAGCCGGGCCCCTCTTTAAATAGAGGATAACACAAAGCATTATTACATTAACATCACTTCTAGAAATCTTTAAACTGTTCTCTGCTAAAGTGACTTGTGCATATATTGTTTACAATTGAACCTTAAAAAGAATCTCCTAAAAACAAGGATTTACCTATATTTTTGATTGGATAAATAATTCAACATAACTGTTGAAAATCAACCATTGCCATCTTTCTTAATACAGTGAAACCCTTAATAACGAATACATCAGAAGAATTTATCAAATGTCGTCTTAACAATTTTTCAATGAGTTTTATACTAAATTACGTAAATTTCAGTATTTGCGAAAATAAATAAATAACCATGAATATGCGGGAACAGTTTTAAAAAGTTCCATATAATCATTAAATTAAAAAAACTAAATATCTGCAACATTCCATTATCAGAAAGTGAAGAATACGACATTTGATGAATTCTTTCGATGTATTCGTTCTTAAGGGTTTCACTGTACTTACACTTAAAATTACGCTTGCAGTCCTTTTAACAGAACTTGCATGAGATTTAAGATTCAAAATAATTCATAGATAAAGAGGTATTTTCCAAATCTGGTCATAAGGTATCTTTGAAACGATAAATTTGATTAGCAACGGTTTTGGACGAATTGTCCACCAATATATATATACCAATACAGCCAGATAAAGGAATTGTCGGTAAAATGCTAAGTAACCTTTATTCAAAGAAGTATCTTTTCATTACACAATAGTGCCCTTTTGGTCTTTATTTAATCAATAACACAGAACATATATTTTTGATAATTTTGATACGATTTAAATCTTACATTAAATTTTATATACATTTAATTTTTTTTTTGTAGGGTGTTCCACCGGTGTTAGTTTCTGCAACCTTTACTAACGTTGTTGTTACAGGTGCAGGACCTTTTTTATCATACCCCCCACCCCCTTTAAACAGTTTTCTTTAATTTACAAAAATAAATTAAAAATTGAAAAAAATAGAAAAGAATTGTTTCTAGTTTTATTTTAGAAATCTCACTTAACGGCTAAAATCATACAAAAACATGTACAAAAACATGTACAAAAACATGTACAAAAACATGTACAAAAAAAACAAGAAAGACTTTTTAATTCCATGCATATAAAGGGAAAACGAAATTTTAGACTAAAGTTGCAACTTATTTATTTTCAGGTTTATCAACATTTATCACCAACTATATTGACGCAGACCCTAATTCCCAGTAAGTATTTTTCTTTAAACTCAATTTGATGGAAAATGATTTTGTTTACAATTACTAATGATTCGGACAGCGTGTTAATAATCAATGGTGGCACAAGTAGAGATGGGCGTGTTCAGCTTTTTTAAATTTGCGTTCGTTGTTCATTTTTTTAGCAATCGTCAAAAAAAGATTACGTTCGTTCTCAAAATGATCGTTTATTTTCCTATTTCTTTTATTTTCCCCAGTAAACGATCGTTCAGTAAAATCGTTCATACTGTAAAATCCTTTGTATAGTAAAATCATTTGTTCAGAAAAATCTACAGTTTTTTAAAAAGTTTGTTTCAAAAAAATCAGAATATAAATCTAAATTTTTTAAACTTTCGACCAAATTATTTCTGAAAAAGTAGAAAATGAAGTTTTGTTGCTAAAAACAAGGTATTTTCAGTAAAAGTTCCCCTTTGCCACCATATTTCTTTTCAATTAAACGTAATAGTATTATACAATTTGCAGGCTCAAAAGGTCAAAACATAGATTTTGTTAAAATGTTCAGAACTATTTTTTTTCCCTAGTTAGTCTAGTTATAATCCTATTCATTGCAATTCAGTCATGCATTCTAAATATCCGGAAAAAAATACAGAATTATTTCATTACAAACATTTAAATTGCGTAAAAAGTCACCCCCCCCCTCTCTTCTCCCTCTCCGCTCCCCCTCTCTTCTTTTTTTAACATATGGTTTATGTATATTGCTAGACTTAATGCATTTAAATTTACGGTTACTTGCATTCCTGTATCTAGTCAGGATGATATTTTTTCTCAAAGAATCGTGAATTTGCGGCATTTGCGCGCAGAGTGCCAAATATTTGGTTTGGTTTAAATAACGGTGTAATCTGACATTATTAGTCAATGCCCTTTACCCTCGAAGCGAAATGGTAAATTTAATTGAAATTTAAAGTTTTAAAGGTTTTTCTTTTTTGTGTTTTCAAAGTTATTAGAATAAAGATTTTGTTACTGAAAATCTTACTTTTGGAATTCATCGATTTTGAATACACCGTCCCATGTCATATTGGATTATCTCCAAGCTTTAACGCCAAAAATACGCACATAACACTCGAAAAAACTAGTATTTTCTGCAGGCAACTTTTTATAATAGCCTTATACAACTTTTTCAAAATGATTCATTCTTCTTAAATTTTCTGATTAGTACCGAAAATCGTAATTTAGAGCCATTAACGATCAGTACACCCTATACTTTTTACATTTTTTCTCCCGCATTTCTGTAGTTGAAGAGTTAAAATACGCAAAATCCCTATGTATGTATTGTAAGCTTTAGAAGAAAAATTGTCAAATTCCTGGAAATCATTCTAATTCAAAGTCCATGACCACCGACATTAATGTTTTAATCGATTTCCTGTTTTGTCTGCACAGGGTGGCAATGTGCGCTTGATTAGATAACAAATATTTAAAGCGATCTGATCTAATTAAAAATGGCAAGAAACGAGTATGTTTTACATTGCCGCATTGATGTTTACAATGTCTACTATACAGTATTTGTTTATTCTTATTTATTCAATTAACAAATGTACTATAATATCACGATAAAATAAAGGTCCTGGTTTCACGTCTCGCAACCCATTTTTACCGCTTTATGTAGATTTTAACTACTGAATCTACGGTGGGACCCATAGACGATATTCAATGCAATTTGATTGCTTTAAAACGAATAGTTTTAATTGCCAGCATACCAGCATGAGTTTAATGTCCATTGGACTATTTTAAGTCATGATCTGTCGGTCTCGATCGTCTTCTAATCCATAGTTTAGTGGGGCTGCACTACATGGTTCTGCGAGTCAAGTTTTTTTTTTAGAACTTTAAGAATTGGATTGACTGTACCGCAAATGAATATAGAAGGTTTCTACAGTATAAATGGAGAGGTAAAGTTTCAGATTTTTTTATTTTAAAATTAAAATTTAGTTTCATTTTTATAAATTAATTCAAACTCAACCTGTTAAAGGGACAGATCGGCTGTGTAAGGTAGTTAAACTGAGTATGCAGTGTTGTGGAAAAATTCTTTAGAATTAATTTGAGACATGTAAAACGTTTCCACGATGTATAGTTACTGGGTTTGAGCGCAAAGTTTACGTTCAAAATCATGAATTTGGGTGGGTACGTTTTCAGAATCGTTTTTTTATTATTAAATAACGACAACGAAACATATAATAATAATTCTATAGTAAACTAATTAGATTTTTAGGAAAATAGTTCTCAAAAGAAATTTATCAATAAATCGAAGTTAGAATTAATTATTTCCATTGTCATCATTATATTGAATTTTTCTTTGAATTTGTTGGCAGATTTTTTCAAATTCTTCATTTGACATCTTTTTAAAGAAAATTCCAGAAAATCTGCAGAAAATCTCTGTGATTAAAGAGAGATTATAGAAACTAATAATTGAATAAGATTACTTATTTTCGATGATAAGAGTTAATTTGTATTTTCTCAACCTGTTCTTAAACAACTTATTAGTTAACTGTAAAATTTTGTTTACATTTTTTGTCGTCGATATTTAAAACTAAAATTTTTTAAAAAGATCTGAAAACGTATTCACCCAAAAGTACGATTTTGAGCGTCGACTTTGCCCTCAAACTCAGGATTTAAAGATCTTTTAAAAGTTTTAGATGTCTCAAATGAATCCTAAAGAATTTGTCCACAACACTGCATACTCAGTTTAACTACCTTACACATTAGAGGGTAGTGGAACCGTTACAACTAATGTATTCGATGTTTAGGTGTTTATTCTTCCATTAGAGGGTAATGGAACCTTCACAACTAAAATATTGGATGTTTTGGTGTTTATTTTTCCATTAGAGGGTAGTAGAACCTTTACAACTAAAATATTGGATGTTTAGGTGTTTATTCTTCCATTAGAGGGTAATGGAACCTTTACAACTAAAATATTGGATGTTTAGGTGTTTATTCTTCCATTAGAGGGTAATGGAACCTTTACAACTAAAATATTGGATGTTTAGGTGTTTATTCTTCCATTAGAGGGTAGTGGAACCTTCACAACTAAAATGTTGGATGTTACTTCTGATGGCTTCTCAAGTATAACTCCTGTAATTGATGGAAATGGAAAAAAGGTGAATCTTCAATAAATGTTCATAAAACCATCGAAAATAATTTCTTGTATTGAAGAACTAAAGTGACCCTAATTATTTACGATTACTCAAACAAATCTAATAAAATGAACATCGAAGTACGTCCTGTGTCTGTTCAGATTATTTTCACTCATTAAATTCAAAATTCGTCAAATATTGATATGTTAGCGATTTTATATATTTAAACATTAGGAATATGTAATATTTTTTTCATTTAAATTAAGATCTAAATGTGGCTTTACATTGAAAAATAAATGTTAGTCACTTGTTAATATTTGTCAAAATAAGAAAAAAATTAGTAAAAAATACATTAAAATATGTTACGTTTTTTTTTTGATTTTTTAAAGGCCTTCCTAGTGCTCTAACCATGTTAGAGGCTTATTTGTATTTTCAATAAGCTGGCCTTTAAATTTGGACTAGGTCTGTTTTACAATCTAATTTTAAGGACAAAATCATGAATTGTGTGTAAAGCCAAAATGGCCCAATATAATAGGGATAGGGTTAACAGTTATTCTGAGATCTCAAGTCTTAAAAAACTCAACTCATCTTATTCAATTCAATGCAATTCATTGCATGATAATTTGGTTTCATATAACTGTTATTTAACAAGGAGAAAAAATAAATGGTTAAAACCATTAATAATATATATAAAAAAATAAAAAAACCTCAATATTTGAGAAGCTTTCTTTTGCGTTTGCTTCTTATTTTCAAATGAATAATCTGTATCTGTATCTGTATCTGTATCTGTATCTGTATCTGTATCTGTATCTGTATCTGTATCTGTATCTGTATCTATATCTGCATCTGCATCTGCATCTGCATCTGCATCTGCATCTGCATCTCTATCTCTATCTCTATCTCTATCTCTATCTCCATCTCCATCTCCCATCTCCATCTCCATCTCCATCTCCATCTCCATCTCCATCTCCATCTCCATGTTTGTATCTGTATCTGTATCTGCATCTGTACCCGTCTAGATCCTCCAAGTCGGAAACACGAACCTGGACTTCAACATCGGAAAGGTGATAATCCACATGGAAAACTTGTTCAACGGGGAGAACAAACTACTTGCGGATACTGTCAACAAGGTAAATATCAACAATCAAAGACGATCTTTTAAAAATGTCTCAATTGTGATAAATAGTGTGTTTTAAAGGGAGTGTTCGTGAAGAGAAAAGGGGTTATTGATAAAATACACCACACACTGCACTTTTACTGGGACTACACAATTTTAAAGAAATATCTGCACAAACTTTGAATAAAAACAAAATTTGTTCCTATCGAAGATCCGTGACCATTAGTATAAAAAATAATAATTTATCAAATGATATTGAAAGATTAAAAGGTTGTAACTTTTGTAAAAAATTGATTATTTGAATCTTATTTCATTCCATATTTAGTTTTTAAACGACCACGGACAGGAAGTGCTAGCAGAAGTTAAACCGGAAATATCTAGACAACTCTCAGATCTTGTCACTAGGTAAATATCTAGACAAGAGACCTTGTCTCTAGGTAAATATCCAGACAATAGATCTTGTCTCTAGGTAAATATCTAGACAATAGACCTTGTCTCTAGGTAAATATCTAGACAATAGATCTTGTCTCTAGGTAAATATCTAGACAATAGATCTTGTCTCCAGGTAAATATCTAGACAATAGATCTTGTCTCTAGGTAAATATCTAGACAATAGATCTTGTCTCCAGGTAAATATCTAGACAATAGATCTTGTCTCCAGGTAAATATCTAGACAATATCTTGTCTTTAGGTAAATATCTAGACAATAGATCTTGTCTCTAGGTAAACATCTAGACAAAAGATCTTGTCTCTAGGTAAATATCTAGATAACTCTCAGATATTGTCACTAGGTAAATATCTAGACAATAAACCTTGTCTCTAGGTAATTATCTAGACAATAGATCTTGTCTCTAGGTAAATATCTAGACAATAGACCTTGTCTCTAGGTAAATATCTAGACAATAGACCTTGTCTCTAGGTAAATATCTAGACAATAGATCTTGTCTCCAGGTCAATATCCAGACAACTCTCAGATCTTGTCTCCGGCTCCAGGTGAATATCTAGACAACTCTCAAATCTTGTCTCGAGGTGAATATCTAGACAACTGATCTTGTCTCCAGGTGAATATCTAGACAACTCTAAAATCTTGTCTCGAGGTGAATATCTAGACAACTGTCAGATCTTGTCTCCAGGTGAATATCTAGACAACTGATCTTGTCACTAGGTAAATATCTAGACAATATCTAGGCATTTCCAAAAAGTGGTCTGCGTTTTTTGTGATTTCAATATTACCGGAGATATAAAGAGTTTGGTTCAGATTTCAATTTTGTTAAATAAAAGCAAACTTGTCGAAATCTGAACGAAATTCTTCATATCTCGGGCAATATTGAAAGCACAAAAAAGGCAGACCACATTTTGGAAATGGCAGGACTAGGGGAATTTTGTGACAATTATCTCTAGAAATTTACTTCTAAGATTAGGTTGACAAATAAACGCAGCAAATTATATCAAAAATCAAGACGACATTCAAGTCGTCCTGCATACTGTCATGTTTCGTGGGACACCCTGTATTTGTTACATTGAGAACAAACCAAACTTTGTAGCAGAGGAAGACGACTTTTAGACTCATATTGGAAAAGCTGTCGTATTTTTATTTTCTACAGTGATAACCATAAAACAGTGGAATAGGAAGACGACAGTACATCAATACTTACCAGTATTTAATGGTGTTACAAAGCTAAAGTTTTATGAATTCACTAATTAAGTAAAATAGGTCTGTTTATACATTTCTTAATTGCTGTATCTTATGTTTATTTATGTAAGATCTTGTGATACTGTATGAAATGATTTTATTCAGAGTTATGAACGACGCATTCTCTGATCTTCCTGCAGACAAGATTCTTGATAACCTCAGGTAAAGAAACTGTTCACGATTATTGAAGTTTATTTTCTTTTGTTTTATTAGGATTTAGAATGTTCCTATAGCTAAAGACCTTAGTTTCTGTGTATTCTCTCAAAAATGCGTTAGCATTCTCATTAGTTAGCATTAATTATATAAGAAGAAAAAACCGGAATATCATGCGGCACTGTGGTTAGGTTAGGACACATAATCAATAAACATGTCATAACATAACATATTGAAATAGTAAGACGACATTTAAGCGATATGTTGTGAATTTAAAGTTGTTATAAAGCAAAATATATTAGTCTAAAATTTGTCTATACTCTATGGATTTCTCCTTATCTACGTTTATACTATATATATAAAAGAGAACAAGAAACCTGGCTTTGTTTTTCCTTTTATACTTAAAGGTAGAGACTGGCTAGGTAACATATTTGAACCTAGAGTGCAATGTCATAGAGAAAATTGAAGGACTCATTTGATACCATTGCCCAAGGTACTAATGCAAGGAAATTTATTTCAGAGGTGTACGCATTTTTTGTACTGCAGTATACTGTCTTTGGGCGGAAAAGTAAACACTAGACGGACACACACACCTTGACATGGAATCAATTTTCACAAAAATAATCTATGAAATATTCTGACCTTAGGAAACTATTATGTGAATTTTCAAAATTATCAAAATTCAATGCTTTTAACCTCCTCGGATACGAGACGAACACTGATGCATTTATTCTTGTTTACAAATTCCGCCTGGAGAGAACTGAAGAGAACTGTGTACGCAGAGTATACGCGACTGCAATTATGTTTCCTTGCATTATAACCTTGCCATGAACCATCTCTTTCTTGTGAGATGATTGTGTTACTTCTATTTAGACCAACTTCTACTGGAGGCAGATTCATCGAGAATGAACCACGTGTTGTCAAGTTACTTCCACTTCAAAGGCCAAAGGTAAAATAAATGCAAAACCAATTTGGCAAATCATAATTTAAAATTTGAAAACTAGTATCTTTTTAAATACACAACCAAACAAATGGAATGGAAGGACGACCCCAGTTATGATTTCAAATAGTTGAATAAACATAATAAACAGCAGTTTACTGTAAACTGTTCAATTTAACTTTATACAGTGAAACCCTTAATAACGAATACATACAAAGTATTCATCAAATGTCGTATTCTTCACTTTCTGATAATGGAATGTTGCAGATATTTAGTTTTTTAATTAAATGATTATATGGAGCTCTTTAAACCTGTTCCCGCATATTCATGGCTATTTATTTATTTTCGCAAATACTGAAATTCACGTAATATAGTATAAAACCCATTGAAAAAATTGTCAAGACGACATTTGATAAATTCTTCCGATGTTTTCGTTATTAAAGGTTTCACTGTATGATATTTTAAAGCTATTTATTAAACTTCTTGCTTTGTAATTTAACATTAAATACACTTAAAGGTGGTTTTTGTGTCGTTTTCCTTCCCTACATTTTTTGTTTCTTTCTGTAATATTTTTTAAAAAGTTCTTAGGTGGAATTTAATTCACTTGTTTTCCCTGAATGTGAGGGCTTCAGTGGCAATAAATATGAAAAGAAATTATTAAAAGCTTTGTTTTCTTAAAAGTGGAAATCTCTTAGTTTACAATTTTCTTTTTTGACAAATATAGAGTTGTTTCTGTGACCGTTTTGTAAAGCTTTTAGTATAATGTACGTCAATTGTTTTTCAATTTCTGGGTTTCTTCACATACTTCCATTTTTATCTATGAATTACAAAAAATAGCCTTTTTTCTTATAAATTCATTTTAAAAAGCGCAATTAGTAAAATCTACGAAACGGTTACCCCCCCCCTCTCCACCTTTATAAAATAGTTTTTAATAATATTTGCTTCATTATTTTAGACTAGTATTCTGAGTTTACTAACTGGATAAAAATGAAGAAGATAGTTTTGAACCAAGTTAAAGTCGTGAACTTAATTATTATGTAGTCAACTTAAAGAGACTGTACACGTAATATCAAGTAACACTCCATTTTACGAAGGGCTTGTCGGATTCACAAAATTTAAATTTTAATTTAAAATTTAAAATCTTATCTGATTATTAGTGTTAAAGATATCTTCGTTTTCCAAGCTTTAAGAATGTTTAGTTCTAACAATCTTCTCCATTGTTTTTGTAACAAGATCACAATATAAAACAATATAAAAGATCACTAAAATAAAGAAACCACCTTTGTGAAATATCAAATTTCAAAATTTGGATATCTCAGTCATTCTTGATCATTAGAATCATTTAAGGTTGCCGGTTAAAATGGACATATTTGCCACTTTCTACAAAAGGGTCATTTGAAATTGAACATATATGGCACTTTTTGAATGAAGGGTCACTTGAAATTGAACATATATGGCACTTTCTGAATAAAGGGTCACTTGAAATTGAACATATATGGCACTTTCTGAATAAAAAGTCACTTGATAGAACATTCACAGTCCCTTTATAATCTTGTCAAGCTGTTTGATGCAATTTTATAATCCGAGTTTCCGATCGTAAAAACTTTAAAAACTGTAAAAACCGTAAAAAGCTTAGTTTTACAAGATTTTCGGCCATTTTGGTGATTGAGCCAAACAGATGATATTTCTTGATAAATAGATGATATTTACCTATACCTATATTTGCCTATACAACTGTGGAATTGGTTTGCAAATCAACTTATTAATTGTAGTGGGTCTGTGTACATTGCACAGTTTCTGTGTTTCTTGTTCAAATCATAACTTGAGTCTAAAGGTCGTCTTCCTTTTCCACAGTTGTCTTGGTACCACTGTAGTAATTTTGTGTAGCTTAGTTAATCTATTAGTCAACCAGTCTTATAATATTTTATAGTATTTAAAAAAACTCTTAAATGTATTGCTTAACAATTACGAATGGAAACACATAATATGATCTAGTCAATTGTCATTGTATATTTTGAAAATATAAGAACCTTTAATAAACCCCTTTAGATGTGTGTTAAACTTAGCTTAACGACATCCGTTATATACAGAGACTTCTTAAAACCTGTTACATGGTTTAATTGGATTTTTAAGGATTTCTTCTTGGGAGTTAGGGTTACCCACAACGAATAAGACTGTAAAGGCGAACTGAATAAATATGACGATCTCAAGCTTGTTGAAATAAAGATACATATTCTGCCTTCAATACAGAATATTTATGGCTTATTTAATGATTCGGCAAAAAAGACATAAGTTCAAAGTTGCAGTAAATCATAAATATAATAATACAAAGCCTAAGTTTCGTAAAGTCATCTTTGAATTATCATTCTTACTGGGTAGTGGGTAACCCTGTATTTAAACTTTTATGGAAGACGACTGAAATAAATTTGTTTAAAAACGACATTTGAAATTAGCGTTTCCAAAATTTAATTCAGACAATTATAATTAATTTAATGTCACCCTGTATACAGTGGTAGGTGATCATATCAATATCAAAACGACTTCTCCCGTTTATCAATGCAATAAAGACGACTTTAAATTTACCAAGCTTTCAAACAGCTTGGATACACATATAAATATGAAAACAAAGAGAAGATGTCATTTAACATCTTCTCTTTGTTAACTTTTAAACTTGTAATTTGAAAAAATATTGTTAGAAAGTAATACTGTTTATTCCAGAACGTTTTTAACAAAGTCGTCTTGACAATTTTCATTATACATTATACCTAAATGTGCAGTAATTGTAAAACTAAATTATTAGCAATAAATTATGTGGGAACAGCTTTAAAGTGCTCCATATAATTATTTTATTTAAAAACTAAATTGGCCATTATCAGTCTGTTTATAAATGCAGACCACTGTTAAATAAAAATGAAAATTTTCGTTTCTTTGCGTTCAACGTTTTTCAAGAGAACGGAAACTAAAATTTCAAAAGTAGCAAATACAAAAAATCCACAATTATACATTCAATGATTGAAAATGGGTTCTAAATGTAAGACTGACTGGACTTTTAACCAGAACTTCTATAGTTGACTGTGAATTACTAGATTAAAAATCACTTATTTTTAATTGCACATTAAAAAACATAACCAACAATTATATATATTTAGATATTTCTTCTTAACCAAGAATACCAAGAAGTCCTCCTCCCAATCCATTGCCAAATCCATTTCCATAGCCATTATTATAGCCGCCGTTATTATAACCGCTATTAAAGCCGCCGTTATTATAACCGCTATTAAAGCCGCCGTTATTATAACCGTTATTGTAACCGTTATTAAAGCCGCCATTATTGTATCCACTATTGCCATATCCATTGTTAAATCCTCCATGACTTCCATGGCTTCCATGACCTCCAAAACTTCCATGAGATCCATGACTGTCATGTCTATCGTGGCCGTGTCCGTGGCTGTGTCCGTGGCTGTGTCCCCTGAACAGACAAAAATATATTAAAAAATTGCATCATTGGCTTTATGATATAACAATCGAATATGTGTGTCGCTGTATAAATAAAGATAAGTAAGAGACGAAATTTTTCAAAACGTCCTTCCGAAAAAATGACGAACGATGAACGAATAAATTGGATCGTTCAGAGAAATTAAAAAAAAAAAACGTACGATTTAAAATCGAAAAAGATTGTTCGCATTTTATGGATCAGTCCGACCGTTAATGAATAATTTATAAACTTGAAAAAATGATTATATAAACAGTTTTTTATTCAACAAATCAAAAGCAATATAGAAATCCTTTAAGTTGAAATCTTTGTTAGACGCTGCAGAAAAAGATAAGGGTTACATGGGACGATAGGCGTAATTGAAAATGACTCTCAATTTCCGTTTCAAGATGTTTTCCTTAAACTTTGTTATCAATTAATTCTTTTCTACACTGGTTTCTATAAAAAGTATCTTGTGCATTTCTGCAAAATTAACATTATGGAGAAAAGGCAAAATTAAAAACTTTTTAATCTAGAACAATAATTTATATATTAAATATAATATAAAGGTTTTAATGGTACCGTTGTAATCGGCCATGTTCCCTATTTAAATTAAAGGTTACTTAAAATTACAACACAGTCCCTTTAAAGTAACTTGTAAAAATCTAGTTTACCAACCTGTAAGGGAGGGGAAGGGGTTGTGCCTCTCTTCTCACCAAAATATGCACTCCAGGGGTATCAAGGGGACCTGCACCACCCTCAGGGATAGGGAGACCATAGGGTAAAGCAACAACACAAGCCAGAACACAAGAAAACTAAACAAATGTTATTTATTTAAAAACAATAAAAAAAGATTTAAAACATCTTTTCTGAGGTTTAAATTGCATCTTTGTACGGATACAGAGTTACCCACAAACAATGAGACCGTAAAGACGACGTGAAACTGTTAAAATTTTACGATATGATTTATGATTTGGAAAAGAAAGAAACAAGTTTACAGTTATTAGGAACCATGAATTTAAGGAAACAGATAACATTAAGTCTGTAAACTCGTTTCTCAAGTCTCATTCTTTTTGGGTAACCCTGTATTTGAACTTCATTTTTAATGCAAAACTCAATCCTCCTCAGTCATTAATTCATATCTTACAAATTGAAAGAGTTTTGGGTATTTAACCTTTTTACTTTTTGAAAACGCCTGGCCACATTTATGTCGCCCCAATCTCAACAGTTGAAAGACAACTTTCATAGTTATTTAGATCTCTGTAAAAAAGTTCCATTTAAAAAGCAATTGTAAATTTCAAAATTTGTTCAAAATTATAAACAGATAATATAATAGTCTATAAAAAGTGTTGGTATACGTTTCGAACATAATGCTATTACAGGGATATCCGTAAACAATGATATTTTAATGAAGACCTGGCAATCTTTAAATATTATGACATATAATCTTAACGTTGACCGTTCGTCTTACGTTTTGTCTCTTCATAATTAACTTTTGATTTTTAAACAAAGAAACAAGCGCAAAATTACATAAAATCCCGGATGTTTGTGCTGAATATATTTCCAACAGTCGTTTTTTGAAGTCTTAGCTTATGCGGGTAACCGTGTATTTGTACTAAGAGTGTCATGAAGTGAAAGTATGAAATATACGTTACCGAAATATAAATTGATGTTCTCATCTTAACCAGATTTGAAAGTATGAAGATTTCTCTCCCATGTTTCTCCTTTTAAACAAAACCTTTGGGATTCCTATACCTGCGACTGTAAACTTCGGAAATTTCATACAAAAATTAAATTACGATCTTTAACATTTTCTATAAATCTTTTTATAAGAAAATCATCAAATGGGTTACACAGTTTTTCTTAACATTTGCAAAATTTACAAAAGTGCGCGTTTTTAAAACTGGTATTAAGCGGTTCAATGCTTGCATCCCCCGTTAAGACACACATTGAAGGTGTTTAAGCGCGTAGTCTAAAGGGAAAATGGTTCGAGGCTTAAAGGTCAAAAAGCACATACGATAATGGTAAATACAAGATGGATAAAGAAAATAGACCTTCATTGCAAAATTAACCATATCTTGAATGTGGTGGGAGAGAGAGGGGGGGGGGGGGTAGTTTCTACAACCCACTGTGTTTTACATACATGTATTTTTGCACCCTGATGGTGTAAACCTTTGATATTTCAAACTTAGGTTATTTGATCTATACAGACTTCTATATATGTACTTTGCTTGTCTGTCTGAGAGTTTCTTTGTTTGTTTATCTCTATGTCTGTCCAAGAAACGTCAAACGGCTGAACCGATCGGACCCAAATTTTGTGTGGGACCGTACATGACCCCAAGGAAGGTTTTTTGGAGGCTCAAAATTACAAAAATGTGTGTCCAACAGTTTTTATTTTTGTAAAATTTAGAAATTACGCTAAAAAAAATAATGAAATCCGCGAACATTTTTTTGTTTTTTATTGTGCATAGAGCAGATAAAAATAGTCATTGTCAATCATTCAGAAATCTCTTATGTCTACAAGAGTGAGTTGCAATGATAAAGAAATTTTAGAAAATTGGGGTTTTTGGCAGAGATTTTACTCTTTACACTCATCTCTGAAGTTAATCTAAACAGTTCTAAACCCACGTTAATCTAAACAGTTCTAAACCCACGCTAATCTAAACAGTTCTAAACCCACGCTAATCTAAAAAGTTCTAAACCCACGCTAATCTAAACAGTTCTAAACCCACTCTAATCTAAACAGTTCTAAAGCCACGCTAATCTAAACAGTTCTAAACCCACGTTAATCTAAACAGTTCTAAACCCACGCTAATCTAAACAGTTCTAAACCCACGCTAATCTATGCAGTTCTAAAGCCACGCTTATCTAAACAGTTCTAAACCCATGCTATGCTAATACAAAGTGATTAAAGAGAATGTAGGCGTAATTTCGAGCGAACTTTTATATACAGATTAGTATTCAGATTCACAACAAGTACCCTTCAAACATTTGTCTGATCAAGGATGCAGGAAATATCCATTTTCTTTTACCTAAATCATTTTCTTTTGTGAATTTTCTATTAAAAGTGAACTGCGGAGTTATACTGCAGTTCTAAATAATGATTAGTAAAGGAAATCGTTTTAAATAGAAAAAGAAATGAAAAAAAGAAAGATTTCATTCTTGTTACGCAGATAGATGTGGAATTAACGAGTACTGTTGTAAATTGGACTTGCCCATATCTTTGAATTACTTTAGTGCGGTTGCTTTTAACAAAAAATACTATTCGCAAAATAATCTTTGTAAAATCCTGTTGTACCATTTAATCATAAATTTTTTGGGTTTGAATTTTTAAAAAAAACGAAAGTGCCCGTTATTGTTAAAATTATTCATAGATTATTTTTTAATTGACGTTTCTTTGGGGTTTGAAGAAGTATTTGTCCACAGATTTTTCTATAATTTGTTGAAATAAAATTTTTCTTGAATTTGGAGCAGATTTTCTACAGATACTCTCTGTACAGGTGGTTTAAGATATCTAGAAATATGTTATACAGATGGAGCAACTTAGCCTTCAATATACAAAATCTAGATGAAAAATATTTACGGTAGAATAACTCCAGGTAAAACAATTTAAAAAATTGAGTTTTTCACTTCAGATTATTGATATTTCACACTATAAAATCTCACATTTCATTTTGATATTTAAAACTATGAATTATTTCAAAATAAAAAGTTCTAAGGTTGAAACTTGAAATATCAAAGGTTTACACCATCAGGTTGCTCCGATATTGACCATTTAAGTTTTTATCAAAGACTTGATTCATATGTTCAAAAAATATGACCACAGAAGAGAATGTCAACGTAACATCATGTAAATCATGTTTAATTCTTTCAATTTCCTCTTTATCCCTGCTGCTACAGTTGACTTTTTACAGAAAATAGTCAATTTTCAGAAGAAAAAAAATTCATCATCGTCATATCTCATATAGTCAGCTCTGCAGGCCGTCTAGCCATCATGGTGGTTTTTTATTTACAATATTAGGGATGTATTTACTTAAATTTTTTTTTTTTTTCATTCTTATATTTAAAGGAAAATTTGGAGTCAAAAATATTAATGGCAGCTAATCTACGATGATTGTGAGATTATGCATTTTAAAAGTTTTTGAATTAGCTAAATATTGTAACTAGAAAATAAGGTGGACTAATATGAAAATGAAAGGTGCAACAGCAAATTTGTAATGTGTCATTTTTGTTATATCGTCGTTAATGCGACCATCATTTGTGCTACCGTCATTTATGCGACCGTCATTTATGCGACCGTCATTTGTGCTACCGTCATTTATGTGACTGTCATTTATGCGACCGTCATTTGTGCACCGTCTTTTGTTCTACCGTCCTTTGTGCAACTGTCGTTTGTGCTACTGTCATATTGGTGCTATCGTCGTTTGTGCTACCGTCCTATTTGTGCTACCGTCATTTGTGCTACCGTCATTTGGTTCACCGACATAGGGTCAAATGACTAAGGGTCAAACAACCAGGGTCAAACAACAAACGGTCAAAAACGCGACAAAGGGTCAAAATGGAAAAAAATATTTTATGTAATATTTCAGGGTTAGGTTAGGCTAAGACAATTTCTGGGCCCTATGGGGGCACTATGGCTAGGACGGCTAGGGGGCTGAGCACTGCGGCTACTAGTTCTAATGGACATAAAAATAGTTCATATTAACCCAAAAAAGTCTAAATGAAATTTTGCCCGTATGCTGCACTTTTTGACCCAATGTCGCATTTTTGACCTTTTGTCGTTTTACCCTAGGTCGTTTTACCCTATGTCCGTTTGACCCTATGGCATTTGAACCTAGGTCGTTTGACCCTATGTCAGTGAATCCGTCATTTGTGCTACAAGTAAATTTTTCGATAAGTCATTTTTGTTATGTCTCGAGATAGGCATCGTTTTTGTGAACGACTAAAATTTTGAAAACGAACAAAATTTTCGGGCATTTTTTGCATTTCTACAATATATTTTTACAATCCCGTTGGCCCCCCAAAAAGCAGCAAAACTTTTCTCCTCAAAATCAAAAGTTCAGGTAAGCAAAAATGTCTAATTCTAAAGTTTCATCGAATTACAGAATTGCAATGAGAACAATTTTTTCAGGGGAAGTTGTTTTGAAGGATCAGTTCTAGGCAAAATGTGGTAAAAATAACGAAGAATATCTATTTATTTATAGTTTACGCAAGTTGTGTGGATTATGTTTACATATTTTTATATATTATATAATAATAATTTGATACAAATATATAATTTAAATTTTAGTTATTCTAAACTTTTGATTTTGAGAGATAAAAGTTTCGCGGTATCTTAAAAATGTTTAAAAATAACATGCAGTAGAGTTGCATAAAAAGGTACGATATCTATCTATCTATCTATCTATATATATCTCTATCTATCTATCTATCTCTATATATCTCTATCTATCTATCTTTTTGTCTCCATTGTCTGTGCATCATCTCCCATTAGGGTTTGTTTTTATCGCATTGTTATTGATGTCTAGTTATATCTAGGAATAAAACAGTTCTTTTCATTTATTATTTCAGTTGTTTTGTTCTTTTTTGATCCATATATCTCATTTTCCTGTAATATATTATTAGCTGAAGAGCCCGGCATTGTCCAGGTTACAAATAGTGGCTCCCGCCGTTTACCCGCGCTTGGAAATCATGATTCATGAAGTGCCCAGCGTTGTCCGTGGAATTGAAAAAATTTCAGTCAATTTGGTCTTGTCGGTTAGCCTGCCATTGCAAACATATAAATGAGTGCAGAGCTGAACCAAGTGTAGAAAGAACAATTATTTATTTACCATAAATGATAGACATGAATAAAGCTAGATATTTCCGGTTGTCAGTTTAATAATTTTAATCAGTTAGTTTTAGATTTATTTTCATGTTTTCTAGCACAAACATATATTTCGTAATGTTATTCTACGCTTTAGCCTGGATTTCAAATTAAAAATGTAAATAACTTTTTTTTTGCAAAAAACTATTCCTAATAGCGCAAATTATATTTTTCTTGGACAACATAACATATTTATAAACTGTATTAAAGTTATCCATTTTTGTCACATTTTGTAATCCCAATATTTCTGCAACCTGTTGATGTAGTCAAACTTTGAATTGTGTCCGATTAACTATTCTAATACAGCAACATCATCAGGTTGCAAAGTTTTAGGGATTTGAAAATTTGAGATTGAGGCAAAAACTCAATTCCTTTGACATAAAAATTTCTAAAATCAACTTAGTCACTTTTGCTTGCATTGCTTTTATCCAATGCTTTCAAAATATTGATAGTGTTTTTTTTATAAATAATCAGATTTATAAAACAAAAGTTTGTTGAATATGTTCACTGCAAACTACGCAGAATGCAAATATATGCGATTAATAACAATTATATGACTTTGTGACCTCAAAACTCCTCTAGTTTAGATTAACAGCACAAGTAAGATTTCAATCTTGCTATTGACCTGAGTTTGAAATATGCTGGATCAAAATGTTAATATTTTAACAATGAAATTTGCAAAAGAAAATATTTACTTTTTGATAAACACACATCCTAAACATACATCCTAAACACACATCCTAAACACACATCCTAAAACATAAATGTATAATACTAGACTTTTAGGGCAAGCTTAAATTCAGAATTTAAATTCTCTTTTGACGGTCTAAATCCTTTCCATGGGTCACGTTATAGTTGCCACACAAATGTTCAATTATATAAAAGATAAATAAATCAAAAAGTAAAGTTTGTGGAACACAATTTTTCCTCCTGACCCATGGCCATGATTAAAGATTAACAATTCAGAATTTTAACAATTTTAAAGAAAATATGAAACATAAAGTTTATAAAAACAGAGTTTGTAGTTAAAAGAATTTTTATACTGGAAATTAAAAACTTAAACGAATTGTGGTTTTTTTTATTTTATTTGTCCCTTTTAACATTTTAAACGTTCATACAGAGAAGTGAGGTAGTTTCTTAAATATACATGAAAATATATGTAGAACAATGTTTTAAACTGTTGAATATTGCTAAATGAGGGTTAGAGCCAGTTGTTTTAAGTAGTTTATACATCTAGAACAAGTGTATTTAAAACAATTGTTAAATGTAACAAATATTTCAAGGATTTTTGATCATGCTACAAGTTTAAAAGTTCCATGGATTTTCTTATTATTTCAAAGATTAATCTTAATATATTTCAAAGATTTTCTTGTAATCTTACTATATTTCAAGGGTTTTTGTAATAAATAAAAATGCTCAAATATTTCAAGTAGTTGTGATCATTCTATTTCAAGGAGTTGTGATCATTCTATTTCAAGGAGTTGTGATCATTCTATTTCAAAGTTTAAAGTATTTAAATTCGTAAAACTGCTATGGTCAAAATTCTGAACATTTTTAAGGATTTTCGTAACATTGAAGGAATTCTGAAATGATTTAAGGATTTTATTAAAATCTTAAGAATTCAGAAATAGTCCCAGGTGTTTTTGTTTTATAAATTGAACAAAACTTCAATAATTTAGTTGAGCTTACTTTACAATTATTCAAATACAAATTTGCTATTTTAGTACTTTGATGATTTATACAGTCTTATTTTTCCTTCAGAGCTTCTGAATCTAATTATGCTTGAGGGGCTTCTGCAGCTTCGGCGGCGGCAGCTTTGGTTTTAGCAGCTTCGGCTTTAGCAACTTCTGCTACGGCAGCTTCGGCTACAGCAGCTTCGGCTTTAGTAGCTTCGTCAGCGGCAGTTTCAGCTTTAGCAGCTTCGGCGGCGGCAGTTTCGGCTTTAGCAGCTTCGGCGGCGGCAGCTTCGGCTTTAGCAGCTTCAGTGGTGGCAGCTTTGGCTTTAGCAACTTCAACTTTATCAGCTTCAGCTTTATCGGCTTCGGCTTTAACAGCTTTGGCTTTAGCAGCTTCAGCTTTAGCTGCTTCACCGGCAGCAGCATCTGCTTCTTTGGCTTTGGCATCAGCTACAGCAGCTTCAGCAGATTTGGCGGCAGCAGGATCAGCATTAGTCTTCTCGGCAGCATTTACTGGGCCCATTAAAGTTTTAACCTGAGCTTCAAGCTTTTGAATTTTAGTAGCACAGTTTGCCTAAACAATTTAATATTAATAGAATTCATATATTTTTTCTTTCTGAGAATAACATTTTGTTTCGCGCCGGTCGGCGACTTATAAGTTAACATGAAGGACTGAAATGGTTTCTCTCAGAACGAAAGGTACAGAACGGTAGAAGGAAAAGTTTATTCATCTTCAGGTGTTTATACACTAAAAATACATAATAATTAGAAAAATACAAATAATTTTTATCTATTTACATATAAAAGTTATAAGAAATTAGTATTAATTACATACCAATGACGCTCTGGGGTACAACTAGATTCTTCAAGTATTCAGTCAACACTGACTGATTTATGGATAAGTTTGTATATAGTGCAGTACGGTCAATGTTTGTAAACAAAACCGGACCAGAATAAACAAAAAATTAAGGAAATAGGGGCGTTCAATTTTCTTATGTTAATTCATTAAACCACAAAAGATCGCGATATAAAACTCGCGAAACACATTTTTATCTTATATCTCAGGTCAAAATTTGTATAAGATGTTGCTCCTGTGTTTGAAAAGATTAACAAGAAAAAGGCCTAACTTCTGGCAGACATTAGACAATTAGACAATTAGACAATTAGACAATTAGACATTAGACAATTTGTATTAGATGTTGCTCCTGTGTTTGAAAAGATTAACAAGAAAAAGGCCTAACTTCTGGCAGACATTAGACAATTAGACAATTAGACAATTAGACAATTAGACATTAGACAATTAGGATTTATGTCGATTATCAAGTTTTTCTGATCAGAAGCCATGCAAATTTGCTGCTTGCAAAAATACAAGAATCAAGGTATTAATTAATTCGAATCAAAAGTTCCCAATATGAAAATCTAGTTTATACATATTTTTTCAAGTTGTTTGCATGAAATTAAAACAGATTGAGCTGGAAAGTCTTGTGTTGGATACCCTTATTCCAGTTCACTTAATTTCAAGTTTTACTTTTGATTATCTAATCAATCCACTCTTTTGTATATCTCTGCTAGCAGAGGGGAGGAAGGCCGCAGTAATTTATTTCTCGTCCGAGCCACCTCAAAATCTCGTCCTTCGTTTATTATGTGTTTTTAAGTTTTTAAATCTTGAAGATAAAGCTATTTTTTAAAAATCAGGCCACGTTAGAGCATAAAATATGGATAGACTAAGGTATTGCAATGATTACATCATGTTGAAATCTTCAAAGCCGTGAGAATGATGTCAAACTTTATTTAGGTGAAACTTCAATCTCTTCTGCCTCCGTAATGGCTAACCTTTGTGATACAAAACAAATAGCAAAATATTTGGCATACCTCTGCCTATAATTTTCCCCATGGAACCACCCGGAAAAATTCTATGGTTTTCGCTAAAATTAACAAAACAGATCAAAGTTCTATAAACTTGGAATTATTTGTGGTATTCTACACATAGAATATCTGAAAATGCGCGTAAAAAAGGTGAATATTTTTTAGGACATTGTACTCAAAAACTTAAATTCTACTGAAAAAATTTCTTTCTATTTACAAAAATTTAATATTTCGTTAATGCTCTAACGTGACCGGATTCTTAAAAAATTGTTTTATCTAGGAGAATTGAACGCTTTAAAAAGATAATATTCGAAGGACGAGGATTTCGAGGTGGCTCGCAGTAGAAATTGAGGAGAATATGGATCGGACTAGAAATTGTTTTGGCTGGCCTTCCTCCCCTCGCTAGAAGCATGCTGGGTTCCGAATAAAAAGGGTTCTCTCATTGCAGGGGAAATCAGTTCCAAAACTAACACTTTGCCTATTTTTAACAACGAGTGTTAGAAATGAGCCAAATCTGCAAAGTTATCTTGCAGATTTTAAAAGTAGAGCATTAGAGCTTTCCAATGATGTACAATTTTTCATATTTTGACATCAAACATGGGATTTATATGGGGGGGGGGGTAAAATTTACTCCCCCCCCAGCGTATCCTGGTTTTCAAGTACCCCAGTAGGGATGGGGTTAAAATAATAATAAGGTATAAAAATTAATTTTTGATGATATTGGTTTTCATTTTCAAAGATACACCAATTTTGAAACAATTACCGCATTTCAGCTAATGTCGCGTTTTCGGAACATATCCTGGTTTTGAGACAATTACTCGAATTCATATCAATGTCAATTTTCAAGCATTTACACGCTAACGTAACAAAACAAGTTTTTTTGATAAGGTAAAATATAAACAAAATAGAAAACAAAAAAATACAGATTAAATATAGATTTCAATAGAAATCCGGCAAAAAATTCTTTTTTTTTAAATGTGGGATGTTAAATCAAATTTTATCTCTTATATAACAAACGAAATAGGGAGATGAAAATTTTAGAAATATTATAGCAATTAATTTAGTCTTCATAAGATAATTTTTATTTTCAGTGATTTATTTTGTAAGTTATGAAAATGAGTTTTGTTCTGAATTGAGGATTATATTTAAAAAGGGGTAAGTGGGTTTTGTCTCGAAAAGGCGACAATGATTCAAATTCAGGATATGTTCGAAAATGAAAAACTTGTCATTGTCTTGAAAACGGTCAAGGGTTTTAATATAAAAAATACTCCGTTTATAACTTTGATTCCAGAAAAAAAATTATAGATTTGGAATTGTTATCCTTTCATGCTTAGTAAAATGTTGGTTATAGTTTTAATTATCGACTTTTACTCTGGATATGGGCCAGGATCCTAAAAAATCCAATCTTTTAATTTGTGCCCATTTCTAAATGTTAGAAATGGGCCAAGTTTTTGTTTTGGAATTAATGCATATGTCCCTATCTTGGCTGTTCGGTTTTGGTGGCATTTTAGACACATAAAGTTTAAATTATTCTGCAGATTAACCGAAAAAGGAGATAAAGAATCGATACTAGCTGCATCTTCTTAGATTAGAATCACCTGTGCAGCCGTTGTATTCTGTAATTGTGCAGCATATTCTTTTATCTTAGCATTCAATTTTTCAACCTCATCAGACTTAGTCTATAAAAATCATTATAAATTATCATAAATTCAAAAGAATGGAACGGCCGAAACAAAAGGATACAAACGAAAAAGGAACAAACAAAGCAGAAATAAGGAACAAATGAGGAACGAACGAGGAACAAATGAGAAACAAATGAGGAACAAATGAGGAACAAATGAGGAAAAATGAGGAACATATGAGGAATAAATGAGGAACAAATAAAGAACAATTAAAGAACGAATGAGGAACAAATGAGGAACGAAAGAGGAACGAAGAGGAACAAATGAGGAACAAATGAGGAACAAATGAGGAACAAATGAGGAACAAATGAGGAACGAATGAGGAACAAATGAGGATCGAATGAGGAACGAATGAGGAACAAATGAGGAACGAATGAGGAATGAACAAGGAATGAACAATCCAGTTGAAAGCCAAATTAAATGAACCTGAAGGGACGATTTAAAAAAAAAGAATGTGCTTGGCAGTCTGCCCCATTGTATTTACTATAGTAGTCTTGAAACATGAGATATTGCTTATCTCTACACGTAATTTGGATATCTATAGAGGGGGAAAAAAGGTTAAGAAAAAAACAGTTGACTCATATTCTCTAATTGGCTGATAGATTTTATTCAGTTTCAGATTGCATGGTTGGACCTTTAGTTACTAAATTAATCTGTTTAAGTACTAAAGATACGGGTTATGCCTTTAGTAAGGGATTAGCAATACATACGTTTTAATTCTGGACCGGTTTCTAGGAAAACAACATTGTTGTGGATTAGCAATACATAAGTTTTAACTTTGCACCGGTTTCTAGGAAAACAACATTGTTGAGGATTTTTTAAAGATTATTCACCTTAACCTCATATTCTAAATTTGCAGCTTTTGTTCCGCATTCAGACATTAAATTCTCAATTTCCTCTTTTGCTCCCCTAAAGATCAATATGTTAATATGATCTTGATCCTGATCTTGATCCTGCTCTTGATCCTGATCTTGATCCTGATCTTGATCCTGATCTTGATCCTGATCTTGATCCTGATCTTGATCCTGATCTTGATCCTGATCTTGATCCTGATCTTGATCCTGATCTTGTATTACCTCTCTAACATAAGGTTTCCTGCTATAGAGATATTTTCCTTCTTCACATAAATCAGGTTAATCATTGAAACTAAAAAAAATTAATTTTTCTAAATTGCATTATTTTTTTTAACTTGATATACTTTTATAAATTTTTTTTATTTGCATAAATCTTAAAATTCGAGCAATATATCTGAAAACTGAGGCAGTAGGTATTAAAGCCCAACTTTAAGCATAAAGTGTGTTGAGTGATAGCAGGCTATCCCAGGGAACTTTTATTTATTTTGCTTTAAGTGAAGTTCAGGGCTCAAATACAAGTGTTGAATTACCATTGGTCCAACCTGCAGTTTACGTCACCATTCGCCGGGTCATTTTGAATTTGCTTGTGTAAAGTGAAACATATATCGGATAGATTGAGATCAGGATGAGTAGCTTAAAAAATCTACAACAATTGGTTCGTTCCTTACTTATCCCAGCTCTAAGAACTATAATGTAAAGACAGAATTTGAGGTGTACGCATTTTTAGTACTGCAGTGTACTATCTCTGGGTGGTAAAGTAAACAGAGAGTGTCACAGCCTGCCATGGGATCCATAAAAAGCAATGAAATGATGATAGTCGATACTTTTAGGGAATTATCAAAAAAATTTTAATTAAATACTTTCCCCCCTCATCCCTTTGTATATGGGCGTTTGTGTGACAGGAACATACTCCGGAGAAACTTTAAAATAATTTCTCTAGAAAAATTCTGGAGAAATTCTTTGGAAATTTTTTAGAATAACTTTTTAATTCTGTGGAAGCAAATTCAGAGAATTTCTTGAGAAATTTCTAGCTAAATTTTGTAAGTGAGTAAGAAAAGTGGTAGAATTTTGGAAAATTTTACATTTAAAATGGTTAAAAAACAAAAGATTGGAAAGAGAATATTTAAAAAAAAATAATAACCATAGATTAATAATTCAATACAGATAGAACAGCTGTTTTATGAAGATTTATGGATTTTTATGTTTATTGCCACAGGGTTATTGTCAACGAAAAATATCTAAATCTTGATAGAACGACATCTCTTGTTCTATCTGTATTGTTTTTAATCTATGGTTGGAACTTTGAAAGGAAGACTGAAACCTGAAATTTTAAAAGGAAAGGGTGCTAGACGCTTTGAACTAAAACTTTACCTAGAGCAGCTGCACAGCTGATGAAGATTAATATGGCGTTATTCATTTCCATTCAATATTTGTAGAACATCTGCAAAATTAAAATAGATATTAGATTTAAATATCAAACAAATCAAAACAAAAACAAGAGATAATGCCAAAATATTTATTTATAGTTTGATCCCCCTCCTCCTTCCATTGTCTCTATATTAAATAGTAATCTCTGGTTTTCTGTCTGGTTGTATGTTGGATGGGGTGGGAGTCATGCCTTTAATTTTAAAATGATTTTTTTGTGATTTGTATGAAGGTCAAACTAGCAATTAACACTAGGAATATTAATGATAATAATCGCAGTCAACCCTTTATCCTCTAAATAATTTACTTGAACTCCCTCCATATTTGTATTTCCAAAGTTCAATAAATAAAAAATTATATTGATACTTTTCCCACAAATGTTCTCGTTATTTTTGAAAAAAATCATGTTTTCCAGATTTAGATGCACCCGTAGCTGATGACTATGATGCTACTACCCCTAGCTGCTGACTATGAATATGATGCTACTACCCCTAGCTGCTGACTAAGATGCTACTACCCCTAGCTGCTGACTATGAATATGATGCTACTACCCCTAACTGCTGACTATGAATTTGATGCTACTACCCTTAGCCTCTGACTATGATCCTACTATCCCTTGCTGCTGACTATGATGCTACTACCCCTAGCCGCTGAATATGATGCTACTATCCCTAGCTGCTGACCATGATGCTACTACCCCTAGCTTCTGACTATTATGCTACTTCCCCTAGCTGCTGACTATGATGTGACTACCCCTAGCTGCTGACTATGATTCTTCTATCCCTAACTGCTTATTATAATGCTACCACCCCTAGCTGCTGACTATGATACTATATACTATCCCTAGCTGCTGACTAAGATGCTACTACCCCTAGCTTCTGACTATGATGTTACTACCCCTAGCTGCTGACTAAGATGTTATTACCCCTAGCTCCTGACTATGATGTTACTACCCCTAGCTGCTGACTATGATTCTACTACTCCTAGCTGCTGACTATGATTCTACTACCCCTAGCTGCTGACTATGATTCTACTACCCCTAGCTTCTGACTATGATGTTACTACCCCTAGCTGCTGACTAAGATGTTATTACCCCTAGCTCCTGACTATGATGCTACTACCCCTGACTACTGAATATGATGCTACTACCCCTAGCTGCTGACTATGATGCTACTATCCTTAACTGCTTACTATGATGCTATATACTATTCCTAGCTGCTGACTTTGTTGTTTTAAGTAGTAGGCAACATCTAGAACAAGTGCATTTAAAACAATTGTTAAATGTACCAATGATTTCGAGGCTACTATCCTTAACTGCTTACTATGATGCTATATACTATTCCTAGCTGCTGACTATGTTGTTCTAAGTAGTATGCAACATCTAGAACAAGTGCATTTAAAACAATTGTTAAATGTACCAATGATTTCGAGGCTTCGATCATGCTACAAGTTTATAAGTTCCATGGAGTTTTTTTTTACTATTTCCAGGATTAATTTTCGTAATACCGGAAGAGTTCTGTTATACTTTTTGTAAAATCTTAAGAACCCAAAAATAATCCTAGATTTTTATGAAGAAATAAGTATTTTTGTTTTGTTTTATTTAATTGAACAAAACTTTAAGAATTTAAAAACTACACAATAAAACAGTTTTAGTTGTGCTTTCTTTGCAATCACACAAAATTTAAACACAAGTTAGGTATTTAGTATTTCAAAAATGTTTCTAAAAATTGTATTTTTCCTTCAGCGCTTCTGATTATGCTTTAGGGGCTTCTGCGGCTTTTGCAGCTTCAGCTTTAGCAGCTTCAGCTTTAGCGGCTTCAGCGGCAGCAGCATCAGCTGCTTCTTTGGCTTTGGCATCAGCGGCAGCAGCTTCGGCAGATTTGGCAGCGGCAGCATCAGCTTTAGCTTTCTCAGCAGCAGTATTAGCAGCATTTACTTGGTCGGTTAAAGTTTTAACCTTATCTTCAAGCTCTTGAATTTTAGTATTACAGCTTGCCTAAACAATTTAATATTAATGGAGTTCATATATGTTTCTTACTATGAATGTTTATTGATTCTATATATAAGGTCAGAATTGTTATAATACGTTTCGCTTATCTACAGCGCCTGTTTTAGAATTTGCTGCTTGTAAAAATACAAGTAATCTGTTAATAATCGGTTTGAAGAAAAAAATTCCGCTAGGAAAATCGAATAAAAATGGAATCTATACAATTCTTAATAGTAGATAACGTAGATAAGATAAGATAAGTAAAACCTCTTAATATTTTGTATTATCTATGGTTAGGAATGAATGAAAAAGAAACATTTCTGTGTAAAATCATTTTGAAATAAGTAGATTTGTCATAGTAAATAAGCAAAAAACGCGCCGTGACTTTGTTAAATATTGTAAAATGTACATCAAATACAAAAATACTTTTATCACACCCGCAAATATAAAAATATAATAATCATATGTCTTAATTGTAAGTTCCACTGATTAAAATAAAAAAAGATAAATGTTCCAATTAAAATGAATGTAATGTGACCTCAAATTCTTTTTTTAATAGAATCCATTTTTTTAATGAAGTGAAACGAACAGAGCTGGACACGGAATCCCAATATCCAGTTTGGACACTTTCTTTTAAAATATCACTATAGTCTAAAAACAATGAGAGTTCTCTAATTGAGTGGCTTGACACTCTGGTCAGTTGAATTTTAGACACTGGATATCATATATAGATTAAAGGATTCAGCAGATTAACATACAGAGAAGATCAAGCATTGATCTCAATATATTCAGTATAAAATATTGTCCAGCTCTGGAATTTGTACTGAACCAAATACAAACTTAGGTCAAGCTTTGTTTAATTATGCAGTTAACATATTGCGTAAATAAAGAAAGTTTCGGTGTAAAACTGTTTCTTCATAGAATAAAATCACCTGTTCAACCTCAGCATTCTGTACTTGTGCAGCATATTCTTGGATCTTAGCATTCAAGTTCCCAACCTCATCAGACTTAGTCTAAAATTATTATAAATTATCATTAGTACAAAAGAATGGAACTGATGGAACAAAAGGATAAAAACGAGCGACGAGGGAAGGAGGAAAGAAAGAGGAACGAAGGAGTAACTAACTAGGAACAAACAAGGAACAAATGAAGAATGAATGAGGAACAAACCAGGAACAAAACCAGGAACAAACTAGGAACAAACAAGAAACAAACGAAGAAAAAATGAGGAACGAATCAGGAGGGAAAGAGGAACAAATGAGGAACAAATGAGGAACAAATGAGGAACAAATGAGGAACAAATGAGAAACAAATAAGGTACAAATGAGAAACGAATAAGAAACGAAGAAGAACAAAAGAGTAAAAAATGAGGAACTAATGAGGAACAAATGCTGAACAACTAAGGAACAAATTAGGAACGAATAAGGAACAGACAAGGAATCAAGCGAAGAACATTCGAGTAATAAGCGACTCACCTGCAAGCCATCGTAAAGTAACCTGGTAAGACGATTTAAACAATAAGAATGTGCTTAGCAGCCTTAACCATTTTATACACAATAGTAGTCTTAAAATATGAGATCGGAAATAGCGCTTATCTCTAAATGTAAGTTAAAAAAGGTTAAAAAACAGCTGACTCATATTTTCCCGATCTCTAATTGGCTGATAGATATTATTCAGCTTCTGATTGGTTGGACCTTTGTTATTATATTAATCTGTTTAAAAAGTTTGCTCACCTTAACCTCATTTTCTAAATTTTTGGTTTTTGTTCCGCATTCCGACATTGCAATCTCAATCTGCTCTTTACTAGCTCTAGAATATTAATATGTTTATTTATCATTGTTCTTGATCCTGATCTTGATCCTAATCTTGATCCTGATCTTGATCCTGATCTTGATCCTGATCTTGATCCTGATCTTGATCCTGATCTTGATCCTGATCTTGATCTTGTATTACCTCTCAGACATAAGGTTTCCTGCGATTGAGATATTTTCCCTCTTCACATGAACCAGGTTGATCATTAAAACTAAAAATAATTTATTAAAAAAATTTTTTAAGATTTATTTCTAATTTTTATTTTTCATCAATTTCATTTTTAACTGCTGCTGATGGAAGAAACTAGTTCTTTTTTCAAGGTAAATTTTCAAAAATAAAATTAAGCAGTTGAGCAGATTTTAAGGTTAGAACCATATGTAAAATTTTACTACGTTCTTAACCCTATTCCCTGAATTATCCCCCCCCCCCCTCCTCAATATTTTCTTTCAATATTTCGTCTATAACATTTCTTTCAATCATTTTGCAAAAAGTGTTCAAACAACTTCATGAGCCAGAAATATGACAAGCCATACATTGAGAGGAGTCCTGGACCTGGTGAATTTAAATAAGAATAAATATATTTAAAATTTGTCTAAGCTAAGCATATATTCAATCAGATTTCCAGAGAAATTTCGCACTTGCTCGCATTCCCTTTGTGGAAAAAATTATTAATCCAAAATACAAGTATGACAATGTACAGAACTAAATATGATAAAATTTAAACATAAATTAGGCAACGATGTGAACAGAAATTCTAGGGAATTTTTCGATAAAATTTTGTAGAAAAATTCTTTGAAAATTTCGAAACTAACTTTTTAATTTTGTAACAGCAAATTTAGAGAATTTCTTGAGAAATTTCCAGGAAATTCTCCAAAGTGAGTCAGCAATTAGCAAAGTGTTAGAATTTACTTTTTTATATAACCCTATTAAATTACAAGGTTAAAACAACTATGGAAAGAGGATATTCGCGTAAGAACATAAATTGGAACTTTTCAGGCAGACAAAACAAAAAAATGAAATTTTAAAGGGCGGGGGCGCAAAATGCTTTGAAATAAAACTATACCTAGAGCAGCTGCGCAGCTGATGAAGATTATGGCGTTACTCATTTTTATTTAATATTTGAAGGAAACCTGAAAAATAAAAATAAGTATTAAATATCAAACAAAACAAAACAACAACAAGAATTAAAACCAAAATATTCATGTTAAATTTAATCCCTCCTCCCCCCCAACCTTTATATGATGTTCTATATATAGAAAGTAGTAATCTCTGGCTTTTGTCAGATTGTATGTCCAATCATAACTAATGAACTCGTCATTCTTTTCATTTTTTAATGCTATTTTCTTGGGATTTTGCATAAAAGTTAGTTTAGTGATTAACTCCAGGAATATTAATAATAATAATAATAATAATGATAATGATATTAATAATAATAATAATCGCAGTAATCCCTTATCCTCAAATGAATTTCTTTTTGTATTTTCGAAATGCAAAAAATAAAAAATATAACAATTTTCCTCGTTATTTTTGAAAAAAAATAATGCTTTCCATATTTTAGATGCTAATACTTATTGGTGCTGACTGAGTTGCAATTACCCCTAGCTGCTGACTGATGCTACTACCACTAGCTGCTGACTGATGCTACTACCACTAGTTGCTGACTATGATGCTTCTACCCCTAGCTGCTGACTATGATGCTACTTCTTATTGGTGCTGACTAAGATGCTATTACCCCTACCTGCTGACTATGATTCTACTACCCCTAGCTGCTGACTCTGATGCTTCTAACCCTAGCTGCTGACTATGATGCTACTCCCCATAGCTGCTGACTATGATTCTACTACCCCTAGCTGCTGACTATGATGCTATTACCCCTACCTGCTGACTATGATTCTACTACCCCTAGCTGCTGACTATGATTCTACTTCCCCTAGCTGCTAATTAACTATGATGCTACTACCCCAACCTGCTGACTTTAATGCTACTATTTCTAGCTGTTAATTAACTATGAGGCTTCTACCCCTGGCTGCTGACTATGATGCTACTTCCCCTAGCTGCTAATTAACTATAATGCTACTACCCCGAGCTGCTGACTATGAAAGAATGAAACAATTAATTTTTCTCCAGATGTTCAATAGATCAGCTGTTTTGGACAGATGTTTAGAAAAAGGAATAATTAAGATAATTAAATTTGAGATATTTTTAAAAACTGATATTTATATTTATCATATTTATCATAAAGTTGATGGAACTATTAAACTTCACAAAAGAAAAAATGACAATGTTTTTTTTATCATTTTTTCAAACCATAGAAATTAAACCGGCTCACGGCTTTACGAAAATAATTTCTTTTTTTCTGATCTGTATAAACACAACATAATCTTTAGAGAAGTATCGTTTGTCAAAGTTTTTAATAGGAATCTAGGAATGGGTTTAATATAAATATATTTAGACTTTTTTGTGAGAATTGGCTCTTGATTGTTCAGAAGTTGACTTTTGAATTATTCCACGTATCTAAAGGTCTTACTTACCTGTTTCTGATTTAATTTAGTTTTTAAAAAGAAGTCCTAAATCGTCACTGTTAAATGTGTACAAGTACTTTCCTACAGGGTTACCCACAAAGGATGAGACTTAAGAAGTCTCTTTCCTCATATTCATGATTCTTTGCCACTGTAAACGTGTTTCTTTCTTTGTCAAATTTGAAAAGCCATGAAAACTTAAATCCAAAGCAGCTAGATTTTATCTAATTTCAAGTCGTCTTTACATTCTCATACTTTGTGGGTAACCCTGTATGTCTAGTTGCTCAAATTGTCTTGCAGTAAGATTTCAATCCACGTAGATGTACTGAGTAAATCAAACTGTTTATACACTAGTGTTATGTGCTTTGTTTAGACCTGGGTAAACTTACAATCCAAGAAGAAGTTCTGAAAAGTCAACGAACAAAAAAGTGGCATAATAGGGACAAAAAAGTGGTATAAACGGAACAGAGAAAGTGGCATAAAAGGGACAAAAAGTGGCATAAAAGGGACAAAAAGTGGCAAAAAAATGAGTAAAAAGTGTGATAACAGGGACAAAAAAGTGGCATAAAAGGGCATAAAAGTGGCATAATAGGGGATAAAAGAGCATAAAAGGGACTATAAGTAGTATTACAAATGATTATGTCCGATTCAAAACCCTTTCTAAAACCCTTTCCCGTTGGCATTAAATTAACAAATTCCAATTGCCAATTTTGTTAACGTGTATCCCCAATGCAATCGATAAAAAATAGGTAATTCTTTTTTAATATAAGGAACTTTTGTTGTAATTTTAAGTAACAATTATCCTTTGAATCTTATCAGATCAATAATTTAAAAATAAAGACGTTTTTCGACAGCTTGAAATATGTTTAATTTTTACAATTTTTTTATTTTTTTCCTTAGCAAAAAATCATTAAGTAGCTTTTAAAGAGAACCAATAATTGAGAGAAAACAGAACAGTTTTTAAATCATCCATTCTTGTTCCGAAAAAACTTTTCAATGGTAAAAGGCAACTTCCTTTTATAAACATCATAACGGGGTAGTCAGACTGTGTAAAATTCCTAAACGAAATGAAGTTCTTGAAATTAAATATAATCACAAAATTCAGTTAACAAACACAACTTCTTGAATTCTATCAGACAGCTTTGTTAACGAATTTTAGATCTTGAACATTGTCAGAAAGTTTCATTAAAATGAAATTTTTCAAAAGTTATTAAAAAATTCCATAAACAAACACATGTTCTTGAATATTATCAGAAAGTTTCGTTAACGAACACAAGTTCTTGAACATTTATCAGAAAATATTCCGTTAACGAACACAAGCTCTTTAATATAATTAGAAAATATTCCGTTAACGAATACAAGTTCTTTAATATTTTTAGAAAATATTCCGTTAACGAACACAAGTTCTCTAATATTATTAGAAAATATTCCGTTAATGAACACAAGTTCTCTAATATTATTAGAAAATATTCCGTTAACGAACACAAGTTCTCTAATATTATTAGAAAATATTCCGTTAACGAACACAAGTTTTCTAATATTATTAGAAAATTCCGTTAATGAAAAGAACTTCTTAAAAAGTATTAGAAAGCGTAATATAAAGAGAAAGAAAAACTGAATTGATTGGGAGTAATCTATACGTAATCACGTGCCCACCCTTAGCTTTAAATGTATACTGTAAACATTAGAAATTAACAGGTAATAAACCTGGTGAAAAACAACCTCAAATATAAATCAGAAAGCATATCTATCAATGTGTTGAATAGGCTATATACAGAGCGTCCCATATCATATTAGATTATCTCCAATCTTTAATGCCAAAATAATTACACAAATACTCGAAAAATGTAGCATTTTCTGCCAAAAAATTGTATTAACCTTAATTAAATTTTCAAAATGATTTATTCTTCCTAAATTTTCTTATTTGTCCCCCAAATCGTAATTTTGATCCATTGCCAATGTCTAATTTGATGTGGGACACCCTGTATACCTACCAAGGATGGGTCTTTAAAGACGACCTACAAAACTTTAAATATAATTATTCTGGAAGCCTGTACGGGTGTCCCACGAAACAAAACAGTAGAAAGACGACTTATGTATTTTGAAACATTAACCACAAAATTCTCCTAGTAAGGAAATTCATAAATGTGGTCTGTATCTTTTTATGTTGTCAATGTTACCGGAGAAAATACGAATTTCAATTGTGAACATTTTATCATATTATCAAAAACAAACAGAAATTTCGCGTATATTATAAAAAGAAATTTTGTTGATTTTCAAAAGAGAGATTCTTAATTAGACACAAAAATGTATTAAAATTTTACAACTAATTTATCCCGCTGTGTTTTCTTTCTGATTTCAATATCCCACTGTGTCTCTAAACAAGAATCTTATTTGCAGTAAAATATTTTTTTCTTAATAAAACACCAAAATTAGGAATTTCTTTATGGTTTAAGTCGAAATAGAAAAAAAAACTTTAAAAGAACTTCATTATAAAGATTTTCTTTCAAGTATTGAATAGTTATAATCTGAATGAAGATATTATTCTGCCTCCAGCGGATCATTGAAATCCAAAACTTCAAAATATATTTACTTTAAAAGAACTTTTGTTCCAAATGTTAAATTTAAAAAAAAATGTTACCAGTAAACCAAATAAATAAATTCATCTTTGGAAGTATAGTTCTTTTGTAATCTTTAGAATATGTAAATTTATTAGTTTGTACAATTTCACAAGCGGCATGACTTTCAAAGTCTGTCCAAGCCTCAGGGCTTAGCCCCCATTGCAATTGGAAAATTTTCCCTTGGGAAATCACCCTTTGGAAAATACCTTTGAGAAAATACCTAAAACCAAATTCAGGAGTTTTTAGGATAAGTTTTTTTTATCATAATTCGGAACAGTACGCAAAACGAATGATCCCCTTTTAATGAAATGTATGTGATATATGTAACCTTACTTACTCTACAACTTTATTTAAAACTTTTCTGGTGTATCACCATCAAAGGGGGAAAGTGGAATCAAATTAGTGACAAAGTTTATCCCAATGACACCAAACCAAATTATAGAGATTTTTATCCAGCTAGCCTCTTAAAGCAAAGGAGGCAGGATTTTAATTTCAAAAAATTGAATGCATTCCGTCCAGTCGAGTATTTCAAGTCCTAACCTATAGAATTGCCATTATGCAACTTTTGTACTATCATTCCATAATTTTTATTATTCTGTTCATTTCCAGTATTTTATCAACCTTTGTCAGCAATAAATAGATAGAGCGTCTTATATTATATTGGATTATCTCCAAGACTTAGCGCTGAAATATGCTGAAAAAACTTAAGAGTTTTTTAGCATTTACATTTTTATTTTAGTCTTTTTTTATTTATTCTTTTTAATTATCTGATTATTCGTCTTAGCATGTTCCGCCTTAAATGAAAAGACCACCTTAAAAATGTTTAAATGTTTATGGATAAAATAGTCTCAACAAACCTAAAACAACCTTTGTCTCTTAGTCTCCAACTTTTCGCTTACTTTTTTCCTTTTTATTCATTTTAATAAGGGGAAGAAAATGCCAAGGAAGGATGATAATAAAAAAGGCTTGTGGGTCTCAATCCTCCTCAGTCTTCAATCCTTAGTTTTTTGACTCCAGCTTTTGGTATCCTGAGCGCATCGAGCGCTGGGATTAACATATTAAGATTTAAATTTTCCTTTTTTTAAAGTCTAGAAGAGTCTTAGAAATGTGACGTAGATAGAGTCCGTTAACTTCTAACTTGAGGTCATCAAATATTTGCCATTTTAACCAAATATAAAGAAATTTGGCAATTTTGATCCCTGAGTCATTATCTAAATAATAAAACAAGACTATAGCCTATAGCCGGCCGAACGGCTGAACCAAATGGGCTGAATTTTTTTTGTAGACATTCGTGATTGGCCGGGAGGTGGCTTAGGCTAAAAAAAATTCGAAATAATTTTTTTCGACATTTTGTTTTTTTTAAATATTTTTTTTTCAAATATATTTTTTTTCACGGGAAACGCCGGGCCCTTCAGCTAGTATCTAATAATGTAAGGTTGTAATCTCTGTTTTGTTATCCGATCATAACTCAGGAACCCCTGGACCGTTTTTCCTCAAATTTTGATTGGGGAACTCGGGAGATCCACAAGAATGTTCTTAGCTTGGTTTTGAGATACTAAGTTGAGTGGGCGACTTTAATGGCGAAAATTTATTATTCCGAAAAAGTCAATCAAGTGCGGGTAAACGGCAACGTAACTTTTAGAACCTCGGCAGCGCTAGGTTTCCAACAAACTTTCCCAAGGTTTTTCTTTAAAGCAAACAAAATGATTTTTGACCAGAAAAATGAAGGATTTCTTTCATCTTGTTTTAAAACTTTTTAAATCCATTTGAAAAGCACTGTGAAAAGCAAAGCTTCTTGATTTTGATTCATGCTTTTTGCTTTTGATATTTTCAAATGTTGTTTTTGGTGTTTTCAAATTACACCTTTAGAGTGATTTACTTCACGGTCAAAGCATCCAAAGTGTTAAAAGACATATTTAAGCTCTATTACTGTGTTAGGTCAGAAAACGCGTTAAGTTTCCTCGATATATAGGTTGGTTGTTCGAGTATTACTCCCGACTATTTACCAGGGATTGTACTGTATAATCTCTATCTATCTAACAAAGACGACTGTATATTTATGGTTTCCTACAACTATAAGCTTCGTTCCTTCTTTGCTAACTCATCTAATATGCCATTTAGAGGCCACATTCAAGGCAAAGCCTAAATTTAAACTTGGTAGTTTCAACATCAAGTTGTAACCCTAAACATGTAGTACGCATATAGTAAATGCCCAACTTCACAACGGTTTTTAGAACCCGTATCTATTCAGGTACAATTCAGTTTAACTTAGCTTTCAAGGTCCAAACCGAGACACAATCTCTTCAGTTATCAATGTCAACCAGGACATCATTACATACAAATAAATCAACATTTGTTTCCATTCTCTGAATTCTTCCTGGAAAAGATCGATGATCTATTAACGAAATGATTCTAAAATTTTCCGGAGAAACTTCTTTATAAATGGAATTATTATCAGTAATAAAATTTGTTAGTATGTTTAAGTCTGTTTTTTGTATCCAATGAATATCAAAACGGCTGAACCGATCGAGCCAATTTTGTGTGAAACTTTTTGGATGATCAAATTTTTTTTAAATTTGCCATTAATTTTTTTTAGGGCGGCCCTAAAAGCCTAGAACATATCGATTACAAAAGCATTTAAAAATTTAAACTTCGATAAATTTATTGTTGAATTCTTTATTTATCTATAATTACATTAAAAATCTGTAGGTTTCAAGTTTGACTCTATAAGTTATTCCCAAAATTAAAATATTTGAGTGCAATATTCCTAAAATTATGATATTTGAGTGCAATATTCCAGGGGATATTAGTTCCAAAACGAACACTTGGCCCATTTCTAACGATGAGTGTTAGAAATGAGCCAAATCTGCAAAGTTATCTTTTTCAAGAGTATATATCTTTAAATCCAAGACGAGTAGAACAAAACTACACCAGATATTTGTACAAAATGGCTACAACCAAATATCTGAACAATAAATGTCAATTTTTAATCTAATAATAAGGTGTGAGAACTAGTTTTTGATGATACTTGATTTCATTTTCGAACATATCCCTATTTTGAAACAATTACCGGAATTCATATCAATGCCAATTTTTAATCATTAAAAAACGAGATTTTTTGATAAGGTAAAATATAAACAAAATAGAAAATAAAAACAAACTGTTCTTTTATAAATTAAAAATCATTAAAGCATTGAGAAATCAAAATATTAATATCATTTATTCTTACAATATAGATTTAGCTAGAAATGCGGTAAAATGTTTGTTTAAAATGCTTGAAAATAAATCATCAACATTCTCTAATAGATAGAATGTGTAAACTTAATCTCAAGAACTGACGAGGGTCAACCCAGACCGAAATATATTTTCAATAAATGTGGAACTAACATCTACTTTTTTACTCTACAGAGGTTTGGTCCATCACCATCACTGAATTTTAATTCTAGAAATAATTTAGAAGTTAATTTAGTCTTCATAAGATAATTTTTATTTTCAGTGATTTATTTTGTAAGTCATGAAAGTGAGTTTTATTTTGAATTGTGGATTATACTCAAAAACGGGAAAGTGGGTTTTGTCTCGAAAACGCGACAATGTTTCAAATTCAGGATATGTTCTAAAATGTAAAACCTGACATTGTCTTGAAAACGGTCAAGTGATTTAATATAAAAAGAACTTCTATTATAAATTTTGATTTTAAAAAAAAGTTTAAAAATGAGAATTGTTGTCCACCATGTTTAATAAAATGTTGGTTATAGTTTTTAACATCAATTTTTAACTCTGGATATGGGCCGGGATCCCAAACACCCAGTCTTTCAATTTGTGCCCATTTCTAACACTCCGTGTTAGAAATGGACCAAGTGTTAGTTTGGAACTAATGTCCCCTGTATTCCAACCAAATTTCCAATTCATTCACTAAACTTTATACTGTAATAGATCATAAACAATTTTGCAAATATTTTCTGTATTTGAAATGAATCAGATGGCGTAATAAAGCTTTTGCATATATTGTCCAATTAGTTTATGCCATTTTGATTTTTGTAATTAAAATTACCATTAAAATAAGAGGTCAGATATCAGGGGTTAGATGAGAGGTCAGATGAGAGGTCGAATGAGAGGTCAGATGAGAGATCGGATGAGATTTTAGATGAGAGGTCAAATAAGAGGTAGGATTAAAGGTCATATAAGAGGTAAGATGAAAGGTCAGTTGAGAGGTCTATAGAGGAATAGGGTTAATAAACAACACAGTTTATTATCAATTCATCAATCCTTACAAAAATATTGTAAAATAATTAAAAAGATTTTAGTTCAGTATAGGTTTTATAATTTACACAAAACATTATATATGCTGAATATATGTTTTAATGTATAAATTGCTTAATAAATAATAACATATTTACATACATCCATAGTTCCAAAAATGTTCTCATTGCAAGATCTCCTTTAAAAAATTGTAAAAATAATTTTCATGAATTATATTTAATTTGATTCCTTGCAAATTGAAAATGCTATTCTAATACACAGAGAATATGATAGGAATGGTATTTTACTAAAAAATTGGTTTGTTCTTCCTTATGAACGTGGATTATTTTTTAGATAGTTTATGTCACACTTCATGGTCATCATAGCTCTTTTTTGGCTAATTTAATGCCATGGATGAGCAGCATTCTTTAAAGAGGGAATGAGCGTCAAAAAACTTTAATCTAAAAATGAATTTAAACTGAAGTTAAGTTCTATCACAAACCATAGTTTCTTCCTTACGTGGATTAAACGGTTCTGTCAATATTCTAGAAAGCTGTGACTTTCGATCACAATTTTACCCAAAATAAACATAACGTTTAGCCTTTTTTCTTAAATACTTTTTTGTCAGAATTTACATTTTGAATGAAAAAGTATAGAATAAACAAATCCGTAAGTTAAAAGATTGTTGAATTATAGACCCAAACACATTTGATTTCAAAAAGAAGAATCCGAGTGCTGCTCTCTCTAGTTAGACCGGTGTCCTTTGTTTTTACATAAACTTAGCTTCAGCATAGATTGTCTCCGGCATGCCAACTTTTAAAGAAACTTAGTTTCAGCATAGATTGTCTCCAGCATGCCAAGTTTTTACAGAAAGTAAGTTTCGGCATAGATTGTCTCCAGGATGCCAAGTTTTTACAGAAACTTAGTTTCAGCATAGATAGTCTCTGGTATGCCAAGTTTTTACAGAAACTTAGTTTCAGCATAGATTGTCTCCGGCATGCCGACTTTTTACAGAAACTTAGTTTCAGCATAGATTGTCTCCAGCATGCCAAGTTTTTACAGAAACTTAGTTTCAGCATAGATTGTCTCTGGTATGCCAAGTTTTTACAGAAACTTAGTTTCAGCATAGATTGTCTCAGGCATGCCAAGTGTTTACAAAAACTTAGCTTCAGCTTAAATTGTCTCCGGCATGCCAAATTTTACAGAAACTTAGTGTCAGCATAGATTGTCTTCGGCATGCCAAGTTTTTACAGAAACTCAGTTTCCATAAAGATTGTCTCCGACATGTCAAGCTTTTACAAAAACTTACTTTCAGCATAGATTGTCTCTGGGATGCCAAGTTTTTACATAAACTTAGTCTCAGCATAGATTGTCTCCAGCATGCACAATTTTTACTGAAACTTAGCTTCAGCATAGATTGCCTTCAGCATGACAAGTTTTACAGAAACTCAGTTTCCATTAAGATTGTCTCCGACATGCCAAGTTTTTTACAAAAACTTACTTTCAGCATAGATTGTCTCGCGCATGCCAAGTTTTTACATAAACTTAGTCTCAGCATAGATTGTATCAGGCATGCCAATTGTTACAGAAACTTAGTATCAGCATAGATTGTCTCCAGCATGCCAAGTTTTTACTTAAACTTAGTTTCAGCATAGATTGTCTCCGGCATGCAAAATTTTTACAGAAACTTAGTTTCAGCATGGATTGTCTCCGACATGCCAAGTTTTTACAAAAACTTAGCATCAGCTTAGATTGTCTTCGGCACGCCAAATTTTTACAGAAACTTAGTTTCAGCATAGATTGATTCCAGCATGCCAAGTTTTTACAGAAACTTAGTTTCAGCATAGATTGTCTCATGCATGCCAAGTTTTACAGAAACTTAGTTTCAGCATAGATTGTCTCCGGCATGCCAAGTTTTTACAGAAATTTAGTTTCAGCAATATAGATTGTCTCCGACATGCCAAGTTTTTACAGAAACTTAGTTTCAGCATAGATTGTCTCCGACATGCCAAGTTCTAACTGTCTCTGTATTTCTATATTCCCTCTACTATGACAACTGCTAGAACAGGTCAGGTTAAGTCTTAATTGCTTACGCCTTGGAGAGAATGTTTTCAACCTTGACGTTGTAGGTTTAAGGGGGGTATGTGCAAGGCTTTTAGCAGAAGGTGATAGACTAGAGGTAGATTGTGTCAAGCTTGAAGTTGGAAAACTTGATGTTGAAGGTGCTATACTGGAGTTTAATAGCATATGTCTTGATGGGGAAATTGGGCTTGAAAATGATGACCGAAGATCACAAGGTTGGAGCAATCCGTTTGAGGTACAGTTTGGAGAAAATCTTATCAAAATCAATTTATTAGTTATCATTCCATTCTTATAATTCTGCTACCAATATTATTGCACAATGCTCTTGAAAACAATGTGCTATCAATTGCATTGATTACTTTTGGGCTTGGCATTTATTCGGGTATGTTTGGCTACAGAAAAAATACCTTGAAGAAGAAAAATATTGGAGATTTAACATATTGTAATAAAAAAATTAAACGCCAATTTTGTGAAAAGAGCCGGAATTTTAACATAAACCTGCATGAATAAGTTTTAGATTAGAGGGATTCAATGAAAATTGTTGCATACCAAAAATACAGGAATGTGTGTTTATATTTTTGTGTATATATATATTTTGAGAATGGGCTTAAAAATGAGAATGGATTAAGTTACAATTAAATATTTGTAAGTTTATGATTGTTCCTTCAGTAATAAACTATTGTTTTTTCAAGAACAATTTTAAATCATTCTTTTTTAAAAATCGGTCGTTTTTTAATTTCTCTGGATAATTAGATTGTCGTCGATTGTTATTTCTTTTCTGAACGATCGACCATAGTTAACGAAAATTTTCGTTCGTTCTCAAAAACGATGCCCATCTGTAGTGAGTACCATAATCTTCTTTATTCAATTTGTAAATTGATTTATGCCTTGAGCTGAATACGGTTTTGCTATCACTTTGAGTGCGTAGAACAGAAGTTCTTGGTACATGCATGGAGTTTGTGGCATATTCGGTGTTTCTTCGTAGATTATTCAACTGGAACGCGGCAAACCTTGTGTGTCCAGTTCCATCCAGAGGAGTCAGTGGGGAAGGTGTCATCATGGGGCACTGGAAATATGAGGATGATCTAGATTATAGATAATTATCCAAAGTCATACTGAGGGGGTAGAATAGCTTGCAGGAAAATACTATAACTTTTTTTTGATTCAAAATCATAATTGCGCTTAAAATTTGCCATTTTTTTTATTTTTTACATTAGTCCATCATACAAGGCTACAAGGAATAAAGATTGCCTGAGCTTTTTATGAAATTAAATTTTTAAACTCTTCATAACAAAAAAGGAATTTCTCTGGTCAAAGTGAACAAATATTTGTGTATTTTTCGTTCAGAATCATTCAAACAAATTATATCAAAATTATTTATGATTTTACACTAACCCTTTGTCTTTAAAAATACTCAGTATTTGATATGGATTATAAACAAAACCATTTTTCATGGAGTTATACAAAGAGTTAACATGGAGTTATACAACCAGTTAACATGGAGTTATACAACCAGTTAACATGGAGTTATACAACCAGTTAACATGGGGTTATACAACCAGTTAACATGGAGTTATACAACCAGTTAACATGGAGTTATACAGCCATGCAGTTAACATGGAGTTTTTGAAGCCAGTTAACATGGATTTATACAACCAGTTAAAATGAAGTTGTAAAACCATTTATCATGGAGTTTTACAACCAGTTAACAAGGAGTTATACAACCAGTTAACATGGAGTTATAAAACCATTTAACATGGATTTATACAACCAGTTAAAATGAAGTTATAAAACCATTTAACATGAAGTTATAAAACATTTTAGCATAGAATTATAAAACCAGTTAAGATGGAGTAATACTTTCAGTTAAGATGGAATTATAATACCATTATTATGGAATTATACAACCATTTAACATGGAGGTATACAACCAGTTAATATGGAGTTATAAAACCATTAATCATGGATTTATATATTCAGTTAACATGGAGTTATAAAACCATTATCATGGAGTTTCAAACCCATTTAACATAGAGTTATACAGCCAGTTACATGGAGTTCTACAGCCAGTTAACATGGAGTTATACAGTCAGTTACAATGGAGTTATACAGCAAGTTAACATGGAGTTATAAATCCAGTTAGCATGGAGTTATACAGCCAGTTAACGTGGAGTTATAAAGCCAGTTAACATGGAGTTATACAGCCAGTTAACATGAAGTTATACAGCCAGTTAACATGGAGTTATAAAGCCAGTTAACACGGAGTTATACAGCCAGTTAACATGGAGTTATAGAGCCAGTTAAAATGGAGTTATGCAACCATTTAACATGGAGTTATACAGCCAGTTATCATGGAGTTTTAAACCCATTAAACATGGAGTTATACAGCCAGTTAACATGAAGTTTTAAACCCATTAAACATGGAGTTATACAGCCAGTTATCATGGAGTTTTAAACCCATTTAACATGGAGTTATAAAGCCAGTTATCATGGAGTTTTAAACCCATTAAACATGGAGTTATGCAGCCAGTTATCATGGAGTTTTAAACCCATTAAACATGGAGTTATACAGCTAGTTAACATGGAGTTATAAAGCCAGTTATCATGGAGTTTTAAACCCATTTCACACGGAGGTATACAGCCAGTTATCATGGAGTTAAACAACCAGTTATCATGGAGTTATAAAGCCAGTTATCATGGAGTTATACAGCCAGTTATCATGGAGTTATAAACCAGTTATCATGGAGTTAAACAGCCAGTTATCATGGAGTTATACAGCCAGTTATCATGGAGTTATACAGCCAGTTATCATGGAGTTTTGCAGCCAGTTATCATGGAGTTATAAATCCAGCTATCATGAAGTTATACTGCCAGTTATCATGGAGTTATAAACCCGTCAACATTACCTGCATGTGAAATTCCCATGTTTGATAAAGTAAATGAGAACATTAACAGTTCCATTGAACGTTGTCAGAAGATGAGAAATATAGGTTGTATATTCTAAATAGATAAGGTTATATATTCTAAATATATATGGATTATAAATTCTAAATGTATTTGGATTATATATTCTAAATATATATGGATTATATATTTTAAATATATATGGATTATATATTCTAAATATTTATGGATTATATATTCTAAATATATATGGATTATATATTTTAAATATATATGGATTATATATTCTAATCCCTTTAATCATAATAACGATAACAGTGTCCCTTTAAACTCACCAATCCAAACAGGCCACTCAAGACCATCCTTCTCACACATCTCCCAGATATTAGGAACCCATCTCACTTCAACATAATCAATCAATCAATAAAGATCATACGGAATCAATCAATAAATTAATCATGGAATCAATCAATAATTTAACTAATCTCGAGCAATCAAACAATTAAATAAACTAGTAATCTATCAATATTATTCAATTAACCCTATTCCCGCTGGGGGGGATCAATTTGACCCCCCCCTGTAGTTTTTTTTTGCATAACTCAAAAAGTATTGGTCTGAGGCTGTTGAAATTTTCTGACTTTTCTTACATACCCAAAACCCTCCCTTTAGGCCTAAAACCGGGCTTTAATACTAACTGCCTGAGTCCTCAGGCACACTGCCTGAATGACTGCTTTTGCCTGTAGCAAACTAAATCTTTGTTTTGACCCTTTTTCACTTGTCAGATTTTGATAAAATTTAGCTTTTTGGAAAGCCTATGACATAAGGAAACAGATTGCACAAGTTTTGCGAAAAAAAATTGCACATTTTTTGCAAACAACCTGTCAAAGGAAATTTGCACATTTTTAGTTTTTCTTGATTAAAAATCAGGTTATTTAAAATTTTGCAAAAATTTTTGCATATTTGAAATGGCATGGTCAAGGGCTTTTCAAAAATGTATAATTTGTCATTTTTTGGACAAATGTTTTTTTGCAAACATTTTTACTATAAAACTGGATTTTGCGATAAAAAATTCAATTTTCGCAAATTTGCAAATTTTTTTGCAGATTCTAAAAGTAAAGCACAAGAGCTTTCTAATGATGTATCATTTGTCATATTTGGACATCAAACATGGGGTTTAGAGGGGGGGGGGGTCAAATTGACCCCCCCCAGCGTATCCTGGTTTTCAAGTACCCCAGCGGGGATAGGGTTAATCCATAGCTATCAATGAAACAATCAATCTCCAGCGATCAAACTATGAATCATCAAGAATTCAAGCAATAATTAAATCTAGGAATCAATCAATTAATCAATAAGTCACAAGCAATCTCAATCAATCAACGAATCAATAAAACAATTAATCAATCAACAAATCAATAAAACAATTAATCAATCAACGAATCAATAAAACAATTAATCAATCAATCTGAAGCAAACAAGGAATCAATCAATTCATTAATCAATCTGAAGCGATCATGCAATTAGCCAATCATTCTTTAGCAATCAAACAATCAATCAAGCAAGCAATTAACTAATCGTGCAAAAAAGTTGCTAATATTAATCATTAAGAGATAATTAAATGTAGAAAATCTTAAGAAAGACGACTTCTAACGTTTAATTTTTAAGATAATCACAACAAAAGGGTTAACTGCTTGCATATTATTAAGGTAATGACAACAAAAAATTGTAAAAAAAGGTTTAAATTACGATTTTGGATAAATCTTGAGATAAAGTAGCTAACAGCTGTTGACCTGGTTTAGATACAATTTCAATTTTACCCTCATTTATGAAGATTCTAAACGAATGGAAAATTATTTTTCAATTACATTGGTAGGCGATTATATCAATATAATGAAGACAACTTTTCATTTTAATTTTGATTTAAATTAAGCTGTTAAACGTGTATACATACACTTGTAACTGGAAAAAAGCTTGTTAAAAATCAAAACTTAAAATTAAAAAAGTCGTCTTCAGTGTATTAATATCAGGATGTATGCCCATTTGCATTTAAACTGATCGCAAAAATATTGGCTTTTAAGAATGTAAAACTTAAATATTTAGGTGATTGAACAAAAATTTAATCATAATGAAGATTGTATCAATCTTTGGGATCACTTAATTTTTCATCATTTTGTTATCTTTTATATTTCATAATCAATTGATTGAATTCCTGAGTGGCAGAGAATAAAAACTAAAAATATTATCATTAATAAAACTTCAAGGCCAAGGTCAAGGTCAAGGTCAAGGTCAAGGTCAAGTTCAAGGTCATGGTGAAGTTCAAGGTCAATGTAAAGTCAATGTCAAGGTCAAGGTCAAGGTTAAGATCAAAGTTAATAGCAAGGTCAATGTCAATGTCAAGGTCAAGGTCAAGGTCAAGGTCAAGGTCAAGGTCAAGGTCAAGTTCAAGGTCAAGGTCAAGGTCAAGGTCAAGGTCAAGGTCAAGTTCAAGGTCAAGGTCAAGGTCAAGGTCAAGGTCAAGGTCAAAATCAAAGTCAAGGTCAAATTGTTTAAAAACTTGGTTAGGATTAAAACCAAGTTTAAGGTAAGACCAAGATAAAAATAACTGAATTGTCAGTTTACCGAACACGATGATAAAGCTGACTTGTGCAAGCTTCCGTTCCTTCTGTCTCAGGATTTGACCAGCCCGGCTAGTTCCAACCTCCTCTACCTGGGACAGGGTTATATATCTATCTAGCTGAAGTGGCGGTGAAGAACGCGGAATTTAAAAAAAACACTTTGAAACGAAAAAAATTAATCTAATAGCCTATGTTATCCCCAGAGCAACCATGGGTTTCCTCAAAAAATGTCAACCATTTTGGTCCAGGCGTTTGGCCAGCAATAGCTAACATTTAAGAACTTTATTACATTGATTATCCGGATAGTTCAATCCTCCTCTAACTGGGGCAGGGTTTTATATATATATTCATAACCAACCTTTTGAATTCTTAATAAACAATAAAAAATGTTCTAGACTTATTTTAAGAAGAAATATGTATATTGATACTTTGATTGGGTGTCTGGGTGTCTTTTTGTTTGTTTTTATCCAATAAACATCAAAACGGCTGAACCGATCGGGCCCACATTTTTTGTGGGACCTTGCTTGACCCTAGGAAAGGTTTATGGATGATCGAATTTTCAAAATTTGCCCAAATTTTTTTTAAATCCGCAAAATTTTGCTTTGGTTTTGTTTTACAATGTATACAAAGAGAACGTTCACAATTGAAATAAAAAATGTGCGCGAAGCGCCCTATAAACCTTATAAATATATATATATATATACAGGGTGAGTTAAAAAAAGTGTGATTAGCGGCGTCTGGTGCAAAATTGTACCTTTTTTTGTGCATTGCGAATTTTCTGTGATTTAATATCTATAAAATTTTATAAATTGATAGAAATAATTATTTTCACTTTTTTACGTTTCTGAACTTTTGACTATGAAAGAAGAAAAGTTTCCCGGATTTTTTTTGGGCCATTGGAGTACCAAAAATAAAAAAAATCCAAAAATATTGGACTCACCCTCATGTATTTATAAATATATTAAAAATGGTTGACCACATTTTGGAAATCCCAAGACTATTAGTTTTTGTTGTTAAATGTTTTAACTATGATTCTACAAAATTATATTTACGAACTATAAATCCCTCATGGAACAAAACGATAAAGAAGTCGTCAATAAATTCTTATGTTTTTTGGGACAACCTGTGCATAGGATTTAAAAGTTCAATAATGTGAAATGAAGGAAATTTTTAATCCCGATATGCAATTGTTATTTTCGTAGATCTTTAATGCTAAATAACCGAAAAGTGGTTAAAAAGTGAATTAAGGACATCGAAAACTGGATTTTTTAGAAACACCGTTTAGTCCCGCTTTAACATTATATAAATCGATTCGACGCATTATTTTTTTTTAATATTATGTAATGAAAAAACAATCTATGTTTATTATTTTTCTTTAGAAAATTCATAACCGACAACTCCCCTAAAAAAATACAATTTAGTCCATTTTTAAAAAGTAAATATGTAGATTAAGTAAAATTTTGCAATAAATTAACAACAATTTCACACACTTGTGAAATGATAGAATTTTCCTAGAATTTTCAATTTGAATAAATTTTTCGGATAAAGGAATATATATTAAAGCACTCTATAGATCTTTTTATACAAAGATTGTTTATAAACGGCTGGTGTCAAATTTAAAAAATCAATTTTTCAACATTATCTGAAAACCCAATCAGGAAAACAATAAAATCCGCAAAATAGTTTTATAAATTTAAAAGTTCTCCAAATATTTCAATTTAATTGACAACCTTTACTCTGGGGAAATAGGAAATAAAATATCTTTATTTTTAGTTTTGTTTCAATTTCCCCCGGAATTGATGTATAGTTGGGACAGGTTTAGAAAAGAAATTGTTTCCGAGCTTTATTGTTCAATGTTCATCACTGAGATCATGGTTTCCCAAAAAGATTAACTTAGCCAAAAATAAAGAAAATAAATAAAGTAGAAAATGGAGGTGCTGCAATAATAAAGGTGTAATAGAATTTATGCATTAAATGACATTTTTTGGGAAGTTTTCTTCAATTGTTTCTAGTTTAGGTTTGCTTTTTTGTTTCATTAAAAACCTAGAAACGATTAACATATGATTTGTGACTTTAGATGAAATGTTGAAATGAAATGTTGTTTGAAATTCTAAAAAGTAACTGAACACATATCTCAAAAACTAAACCTTAACCCCTTGCAACCTGATTTAGGGAAAATATACCAAATCAAATGTCCATTAACCAGAAACAAAATTTAAAAAAAGTATAAAGGTACACGTGGATTTAACGGTACAGTCAATATTCCAGAAAGCTGTGACTTTCGATCCCAATTTGACCCATTAAAAATAATTTGTTAGCCTTTTTTTCAAATACTTTTTTGTTGGCATATGCATTTTGAATAAAAATGTACTAAATAAACAAATCCGTAAAGTAAATGATTATTGAATTAAAGACCAAAACACGTTTTGATTTCAAATAGAAGAAACCGATTGCTGCTCACTCTGGTAAGTCCGGTGTGCTAGTTTTTGCAACATACTCAAATTTTCTAATCCTTATATCTTTGCAAACTAATATTTTAAACGGATAGTGTAAACTTGTGCTATTTCAAACTAAGATTATTTGATCCAACATAATTCATAATTTGTGCATGGAAAAAAACTTATTCAGAACAAATGATAAAAACTGTTCACCTGTATTTTTTTAAGTTCGTTGTAAACAGCCAGGTTTAAAAAGATGAGAACAAGAAATGGAAAAACACCTAAATGAAAACATTTTTTAAATGTATTTTTTATTAAATATTTCTCAATATTGCAGAACCTTGAAATATAAAAATGACAGGAAAATAACAGTATGTTCAGCAAGGCCAGAAAAAGTTACAATAAGCATCTTTAGAACTTTATAAAAATATGTTTTTTTTCTGAAAACTTTAGAGTACAACTTAGTCACAATAATAAACATGTCTGAGTAAGAAACTATTGAATGAACAAAACTGATTTGAATCAATTCAAATCAGTTTAAATAATTCTTTAATTCATTTCTCGTTTGCATTTATTAAAATCCGATTTGAACAATTATATATCAATTTATTTGTGTGTGTTTTGTTTGATATCTCAATTGTAAAAAGAAAAAACACGCCGTTCAGATTTGGAAAAATTGTGCAAATTTCTTTTAAGCAAATAATTTGCCAAACTTGTTCAAACTGCTTCCTTATGTCAACAGCTTTCAAAAAAGCGCAACATTATTAAAAGCTGACAACTGAAAGTGGGTCAAAATAAAGATTTAGTTTGTTGTAGGAAAAAATAATCATTCAGGCAGTGTGCCATAAGACTAAATGAGTTAGTATAAAAGCCCGGTTTTAGACCTAAAGGGAGGGCTATTAGTATTTAGGAAAAGTCAGAAAATTTTAAGAGCCTCAGACCAATATTTTTTGAGTTATATTACAAAAAAATACGGGAGGACACAAATTGAGCCCCACCTACCACCTACCAGCAGGAATAGGGTTAAAATCTACGACTCCCATTTAATTTCTATTTTAATTACTCCGCAAAAATACAGTTTTTGTTTCTGCTTTAAATACTATTTTTTATGATAAAATACTACTTACAGTTTATGATAAAGTTTGCCCAGACAATATATCCACTAATATATAACTCATTCAGCCTAGAAATCATTAGAATATTTACATTAATACCAGGTGCCTCTAAAATATATATTAATACCAGGTGCCTCTAAAATATATATTAATACCGGGTGTTTCTAAAATATATATTAATACCAGGTGTCTCTAAAATATATATTAATACCAGGTGCCTCTAAAATATATTAATACCAGGTGCCTCTAAAATATATATTAATACCAGGTGCCTCTAAAATATATATTAATACCGGGTGCCTCTAAAATATATATTAATACCAGGTGCCTCTAAAATATATATTAATACCGGGTGTTTCTAAAATATATATTAATACCAGGTGCCTCTAAAATATATATTAATACCGGGTGTTTCTAAAATATATATTAATACCGGGTGTTTCTGAAATATATATTTATACCGGGTGTTTCTAAAATATATATTAATATCAGGTGCCTCTAAAATATATATTAATACAGGGTGTTTCTAAAATATATATTAATTCCGGGTGTTTCTAAAATATATATTAATACCGGGTGTTTCTGAAATATATACTAATACCGGGTGTTTCTAAAATATATATCAATGCCGGGTGTTTCTAAAATATATTTTAATACAGGGTGTTTCTAAAATATATATTAATACTGGGTGTTTCTGAAATATATACTAATACCGGGTGTTTCTAAAATATATATTAATAGCGGGTGTTTCTAAAATATAGTTTAATACAGGGTGTTTCTAAAATATATATTAATAGCGGGTGTTTCTAAAATATATATTAATACCGGGTGTTTCTAAAATATATATTAATACCGGGTGTTTCTAAAATATATATTAATACTGGGTGTTTCTAAAATATATACTAATACCGGGTGTTTCTAAAATATATATTAATACCGGGTGTTTCTAAAATATATTTTAATACAGGGTGTTTCTAAAATATATATTAATACCGGGTGTTTCTAAAATATATATTAATACCGGGTGTTTCTAAAATATATATTAATACCGGGTGTTTCTAAAATATATCTTAATACCGGGTGTTTCTAAAATATATTTTAATACAGAGTGTTTCTAAAATATATATTAATACCGGGTGTTTCTAAAATATATATTAATACTGGGTGTTTCTAAAATATATATTAATACCGGGTGTTTCTGAAATATGTATTAATACCGGGTGTTTCTAAAATATATATTAATACCAGGTGTTTCTAAAATATATATTAATACCGGGTGTTTCTGAAATATATATTAATGCCGGGTTTATTTCTTTATATACATAAAAGATACGGGGTGTCTCTAAAAACACATTATTTGATGCCAAAGCCTCAATTCTTAGTTAGTTATAGCTTTTTTTGATTATTTCAACTTTAAACAAATATTTCAACTTTGAAAAAATAAAATCAGTTTAAAATCGACTCTCTAGCATCAATTGAAAAAAGTATAATTTTCAAAACTTTAAACTTTAATAAGTTAGCTAAAATCAACTGGGATATTTAAACATGATAATAAACTTTAAATTGCTGAAAACTTTATAATTGGATACCTTTAACTCCGATTGCTTAATCTGAATATCCAATATGGACACTTTTCATTTTATCCTTAAATGCTCTTTTTCTCTCTTTTCGGATATTTGTACTTGGTTGGACCAATGAGAGTCCACTATCATTAAATGGCGGGAAAAAATTTAAATTTCCCGAGATGGAATTTAAAGAATTTGAGCCGCGGTTTAAATCTGCCAAAACCCGGTTTAAATTAAGCGCCGGCTTAAATCTTGAAACATTTGATACAATTTTAAGTGGAACCAACCATATTTAAGCCGCGGCTTAAATTTAAACTGCCGCTCAAATTCTTCAAATTCGGCCACCGGCTTCTCTCATTGGCTGTTCCGGTTGCCATCAACTCAGCTCAATTTGTTAAGTTATTTACACTTTTAATTACAATTAAATTTATAAAAATTGTAATATTATAATATAAATTATATTTATCTTGAGATTAAGAAAAAGAGAAGATCAAACATTGATCTCGATATCCACAATTCTAAAGTTTTCAGCTCAGATTTATAAATGTAAAACTGAAATATTGAAAATATTTTAAGTGAATGAAATATTGGAACATATTTATCTAAAATCCAATACTCAATTATTTTGAAAAATAAACTGGTGAATTTAGTGACAAATGTTGTGTAAGACGGCCATACAATAGATAAATAGAAAACGTAATTCTTTTATGCTTTAATTAAAGGGAGTGTGAAGGAAAAATGAAGTGGGATATAGCCTGAAACCTTAGTATCTTTGGACTTGATCGAGAACCATGAGAGTTCTATCTGATGTTCCTGTCTCGAGAAATTGATATAAAACTGTGTCAAATTTATGCGAAAATCGGTATATGCCAAATTGTGTACAAAAAAATAGTATGTTTAAACAGATCATATTCAGCAAATACGCAACCAATCTGAAAATGACGATATCCCAGAGGAGCCTAAGTAACTTAGCTTTGCTTCTATCATTATTTAAATTTAATAATTTTTTATTTTTAATAAATTTAATTGATAATTATTATACATAATTGTGCGTATAATTATTTATACTTTCGTATCACGTGACTAGAACCCCACCAATGGCAGAGTAGTATACTGGTCACGTGAAACAGACAGAGACACGTGACAATAATAATTCACTGTCATTGGTGGGAATTCTGGTCACATGATATGGACATATAAATAATTATTCATATAATTATTAATTATTATTAGGCTCCTTTGAGATATCGTCGTTTTCAAATTGGTTGCGTATTTGCTGAATGTGATCTGTTTAAACAAAATTTTGAATATACCGATTTTTGTACAAATTTGACACCGTTTTGTATCAATTTCTCGAGACAGGGACAACAGAAAGAACTCTCATTGGCCTCGATCAACTCCTTCGATACTTAGGTTTCAGCCTATACCCAATTTCATTTTTCCTTTACAGTCTCGACTTTAAGTCAGATAATTTCATAAGTAGTTTAAGTATCAACTTATTAATTGAAATTTATTGAGTCTTTGCCACAAACTCAAATTTCCCAATTTTTATATTTGTTCAACCTTTGATATCTCAAATTTAGATAGTTGATCTTACTCGAATTAATTGTTTGAAATGTTCAATTGCATCAATATAATGAAGACGACTTTCTATTTCAATTTTGATTCATTTCAAGCTTTTAAACAGCATACATAAACAAAACATGGAGACAAAAATAAACTGTAAATCTAAAAACCTTCTCTTTTTTTACTTGTAAACTAGTAATTTGAAAAAAGCTTGTTACCAATTAAATCTTAAATAAAAAAGTCGTCTTTATCATTTCGATATAATCGCCTACCACTGTAATAAAGATTAAGGATTAGAGAATATAAATATATTTGTATAATAAATATGCAAATATATAATAGCCCTCAGTGTTTGTAACTAGAAACTAATGAGTTTGTCATTCAATAGAATTTTCTGGAAATTATAAAATGTTGTATAATCTTGCAAGGCATGCATTAAAGGGACAAGGCGTAATTAACCTCAATTTAAAAAAAGGCATGTCAGATTGACCACGTTGCCCTTTATTCATAACTCTTATCAATAATATGGAAGATATCATTGTTTTTCTGGCGTGACAAGTGTTTAATTTTGATAATTTCTTCAAAACTTCTGAAGCAAGAATTAATGCGCAAATGACTGTTGTAAAGAAACTATAAATGAAAATTGTTAATTTTTAAAACAAAACATTGATATATGATTCATATAAAAAATGCTACAAAGCTGTTAAGGTTACCAGTGTCAATTGACACAAATTCCGAGAAAAACGGCACGCATGGATTAACACCAATATAAATATAATATAATAGAACTTCATATACTGAATAGAAATTATAGAAGTAAAAACGATATTTTGTTAAATTTTGTTCCGCGCGCAAAAAAGCCAGGCGTTGTCCGTGAAATTTTTTTAATTGAATTTAAATAAAAAAATTAAATTTAAAAAATAATTCTAATTCTTTATTATAAAACAATTTTAGCCCATTTAATCCAGTCGTTTGGTCAGCTATACCTAACACGTAGACATGAGCAAAGTGCTTTATTTTATAGAAGATGTAATAAAATTTCTAATACTAAATGGCAAATATAGTAGAAAAAAGATTTTTTGCAAAATTTTGTTGCAGCTGGAACTCTAGCTTTGCAGGAATTTTTTGTTCATTTTTTCGCGAAATTTTGTTTCCGCTGGAAGCCCCATCTGGAATGCACACAGCTTTCACATATTGAGTTTTTATATTTGGACTAATTCAAATTATATTTTTTATTCTTGCGTATTCACCATTTTGAATCTGTTTTATGCAAACTAAAAGAAAGTTTTTAATTTTCAAAGTAATTTCTGTTTCTTTTAGATTTGCAGTTGCTTTAAAATATTTATTTGTTCACCACCATTTTTAATCGCACTCCTACTTTCGAGGATCTAAATGTACTTGACATTTTTTAGACAACCTGTTCTATTGTTCTAAAATGATCCTATGCTAAGGAGACCTATAGACTAAAATTCCAAAAATAATTCAATAGCATATTATTGTTTACTAATTAGAGAACGTAAAATCTCTAATTAGATAAAAATAATCAAGAAATCAGTCTGAAAGGGACTGTAAGCGTAATTTCAAGTGACACTCTATGCCCAATTTACATCGGTATCCTTGAAAGCTTTGTCTGATTGAAAATGAATTAAATGTTGATAATTGCAATTTTAAAATTTTCAATTGTGGTTTCTTTACAATAGTTATCTGCGCATGCATTTATACTCTGCTGGAAAAAATATAAGCATTATCAGAAAAAAACACACTTTTAAACCTAAAAAAACGACAATATCTTCAACGTTGTACATCAGATAATGGTTTCAAGGGTACCGTTGTGAACTAGACATTCAAATGATTCCGATAAATTACGCCTACAGTCCTTTATAGCTTATTATTAGGTTTTTGGAAACTTCACAATTCAAAATAAAATTTGGATTTATAAATAACTAAAAAAATATTTAAAAGTACAGAAATTAAACAGTTTTTATTGGTTTGGCGATTCAAAATATTCAGATGCTTTTTTTCTGTAAAAGATGTTTTACAGTATTTTACAGTTTTTAAGAAAATCACCAAGTTGAAATTTTTAAATTTGCAAAATTATTTAGTCAGACTAGACCAGACAAATTTATCCGACTAAATATAACTAAATATAACTTAAAGAAGTATGAGCCCTACAGATTTGGCAAAGGAATTGAGTCTTTGCCACAAACTCGGATTTTTAAATCCCAATTTCTTTAAAACCAAATGTCGTAGACCGTAGATATTTCAAACTATGAATTCTGGTGGATCAAACAATGTAAGTTTGAAATATGAAAGGTATCCATCATCTGGTTGTTGAGATTTTGGTATTATAAAATTGGAATTTGTGACAGAAACTCAATTCCTTTGCAATGCTGCTGCAAATTCTTTAATTTTCAAAGTTTTCAAAGTTTTTAATGCAATACCAATAAAATATTAAAAATTAAACTTGTAAGTCGAAGAACGTATTGGAATTATCATGTTTAGTGGTGTACTGTACTGTACCGTACCTTGGTGTACTGTACTGTACTGTACCGTACCTTGGTGTACTTTACTGTAATGTACCGTACCTTGGTGTACTGTACTGTACTGTATCGTACCTTGGTGTACTGTACTGTAATGTACCGTACCTTGGTGTACTGTACTGTACTGTACGGTCCATGGGTGTACTGTACCTTAGATCTGTAGGTTGGACCATGTACAGTGGCAGACTATTGTTCTCATGCAGGGTCTCTAAACAATCATAATAACAGAGAAAAAAGTTTTTTGTGCAATCTGCTTCCTTTTGTTAAAAGCTTTCACAAGAGCTATAAACGCCAGAAACCAATTATAACTTGAAAAGGGTCTAAATATAGATTTGGTTGGGTAAAGGTAAAATAAGGCATTCAGCCAGTATGCCTGCGGACTCAGCAGGTAGGCATAAAAGCCTAAAGTGAGAAGCATGTGTTAGTTAGAAAAGAAAAAAATTTGAATTGGAATAGGGTTAAGTAACTTAGAGGATTTTTAAAGAAACACAACGCCAGTGCAATACGATCATTTAAAAGTTGTTTTTTTTACAGAACAAATCAAGTTCAATTCGGTAAACAATGAATTATATTCTATTGAAGAGTTGGTGGTGTCTCTGTATTTCTAAATTCTCTCTGGTCGTTTATTAAGATTAAAATTTGCAATGCATAAACCCTTATGTCATTGCGAAAATTACATGAATTTCAGCAAAAATAACAGTAAAGTTTTACACATTTGTGTTTTACAGTGAAGTACTATTTCTAAATTGCATATTTTTAGAAATTTCTAAAAAGGTTAAAGTGGATTTCCTCTTTATGATTGTTATAATTATTTTGTAAACGATTTAAGGGTCGTTGTTAATGATCGACAAAAATCTAAAAGAAACGACGAAATAGAAAAATTATCCTTTTCAAAAATTATGAAGAAGATAATTTCTTGTTTTTTGCGTCGAACAAAACGGTCAAAAAATAAAAACTACATGAATGATAAAAAATTTAGAAATATCATGCCTCCCCCCCCTACCCACTTTTCCCATTCCTACTTCATTTTTTTAACATCTGAATCTTTACTTTCATTGAAAATGCTATAGCTTGTCAAAACCTTTACAATGTGAGATTATCTCTACTCTATGATCTTTAAGCTGTATAGAAGTAAGAATAGTGAGAGCTGATAAGAATTGGCTGAGTCAAGAGATGAGACTAGAACTTTCACGTTGATTTACCAAAACAGGATTTGAACCATTCACCATTTTTCAGAATAAGTTTCGCTTTTTAAGGAATTATTCTACAATGTCAAAATGGAAATAACAGCATTAAGTTGGATGATTGTGAAATTGATTACTTTTCAAAATCAAGAATCAAAGAGGCAAAATAACTAATTACAAGTGTGACTTTCTGATTGGAGAGTTGTACGCCCGATTTACATGGTAGCATTAAAACCTTAGCAGTGCCAGGGTATATGCTTAAAGTTTCGAGGCACTAAATGTCCAGCTAAAATCATTGATTAGAAAAGTGTTTGAAGGGTGCTGATGGGGTTCGGACATGTTGCTTTATAATTATAAAGAAGGTTCACTTAAAACTATGTATACACTCCCTTTAATACCATAAAACTATGTGTACACTGCCTTTAATAACATAAAATGAATGAAAATATACTTTACCGTTTGTAGAATTGTAGGAAGGTCTTTCTACAGTCTCCAGTTCAAAGAACTTTGGTAAATTGAAAACAGAACTGAACACCACAATCGGCAGCACATACACCCTTCATAGATAAGAATAATTCTAATTATAATAATATATAACCTCAACATTCAGTTAAAAATAAGATTAAATAATAATAATAATAATTATAATAATAATAGTAATAATAATAATAATAATAATAATAATAAGAATAATAATAATAATAATATTGATAATAATAATGATAAAAATAATAGTAATAATAATGATACCAAGCTGGCCAGTTATGAGAGAGTTTGAAGAAAGGGTGACAGACGGTGATATACCTTTCCACAGCTAGTGAAATGGTTAAATAGATAGACCCTAAAAAAAGGAAAATTAAAATTTCAAGAGAAATGGTTCAACTTGCTCCCTCCCTCACGTAGACCTAGATAAACCATTTCTCATTAGCGTCGTCTCAAGTTCAAGAGAAATAGTTCAACTTGCTCCCTCCCTCACGTACATCTAGATGAACCACTTCTCATTAGCACCGTCTCAAGTTTAAGAGAAATGGTTCAAATTGCTCCCTCACAAGCTTTCAGATTAAATTATGCATTTGGTTTTATTGAGTTTGATAAGATTATAGTTTTAAGTTGCTTCTCAACTTCTCTAGATTGTGTGGTCGAAATCCATTCTGCGGATTCAGTGTTAATTTCCTTTAATTAAACTTTAAAGAACCAGGGCCCTTTTTCTGGTAGCATTTTTAGCTGTTGAATGCTACTTTTCCATCCGGAATGGCATTTTTCCCTTGTATCTCATAGGACAAAAAAAGCGAATTTTTCTGTTTACTTGCGTTGACGGTATACCGTTTATACAAAACTTAAAGTGACATTTTTCAGCAACATTTTTTTATAAACTTTCTTTTTGGTCTACTTTGGGTCGAACTAATGTTAGATTCTGCAAAAAAATATTAGCCTTTCTTTTTATATAGAATTAAAAACATTCATTTTTATGTAGAACCACTTGAGTTCATTCTTAGATAATGAAACTCTCTTTGTTAATTCAAATCTTTTAAATGTTTTGTTTAGATTCTGTGTACGTGGGTGCGTAAAAAGGGGCAAGAAGGTGAGGGGCGATTTAATTCATAAAGATATGTATCAAGATTAATCAAATCTATTCTACATATACTCCACCGACAATTATGCTAATTCAACCAATTTTGATAACTTGAACAATTTGAACAATTTTAAACTTTAAAATATATATCTACAAATTTTAGGATTAGTAATGTTTTATTTAGGGCTGGACTGAGTTTTAGTAAATTAGCGTAGCAGAATATTTAAACGCATTCATATCACGTACATTTTAATACCCGAGCTGGGCCAACCCTTCAGGTCCTAGTTTTTTCTGTACCGCCAATTTACAATTACATAAGAGGCAGACCTATGCGACATCTCACACATAGATCAATGCGAATTTTACCCTTAGCTTCTATAAGAACTAAAGCTTAAACATATGTGCTAAAAAATAATGTGAATGGGAATGTCTAGGACTTAAACCGAAGCTGAAAAGAAGCTTGTTTTATTATTATTATCATAATAATTATTATTATTATTATTAATATTATTATTCTTTTAGTTCTAAAATGCGCGTGTTCCAGAGAACTAAAAAGTGTAACATAGTATTTTAGATCCTAAAGCCTTGTTGGTGGGATCCTGTAGATTGCAAAGTCGACCTTGACAATTGATCCTGAATTTATTTCTTATTTTTTTTTATTTAAACTAAAAACCTTTCTTTAAAAGAAGGCTGGGCTATGTACATTTCCGTTAAAGAACAAAATTTTATGAAAAATGGAATACTTAACCGATAATGAACGGAAAGAATGTGTAACCTTCACCTTGTTAAATGAAATGTTTTCTCATTTTTTTTTGTAACGGTTAATCCAAAGCTAACCGCGTTAACGATCGGATTGAATAAAGGATATAAGGTATTTTCCTCAAGGTAGTTTCCAATCGGCGACATCTTACAATTTTCCAAGAAGAGGCAACTTCCCAAAGGTTAAGTAAGGCCTTCTGGGGCCGAGTGCTGCTGCTAGGACCGACTTAGGAAGTTACTGCTTGGGAAATTGCACAGCTGGTAAGTAATTGCTTGGGAAATTGTACAGTTGGGAAGTAACTGCTTGGGAAATTGTACAGCTGGTGCGTAATTGCTTGGGAAATTGTACAGTTTGGAAGTAACTGCTTGGGAAATTGTACAGTTGGGAAGCTACTGCTTGGGAAATTGTACAGTTGGGAAGTTACTGCTTGGGAAAATGTACAGTTGGGAAGTTACTGCTTGGGAAATTGTACAGTTGGGAGGTTACTGCTTGGGGAAAAGCCTTAGGAAAAGTACCTAAAATCGAATACTATACTAAAATGCCCATCCCTAATTTTAAGTTTTACTGGTAAAATATATGAGAAGCAGCAGAATTTCTTCAAAATAACTTTATTTGTGAATTTAAATATTTAAGATTGAAACTTATTATTTTCATCATATTTCAGTACATATTAAATAATGTACGTAATTCATTTTTTCTTATTATTTTAATAGCCTTAAATTAGAATTAAATGTACACTGTACTGTACAACACAGAACAGAACAGTACAGTGCAGTACAGTACAGTACAGTACAGTACAGTACAGTACAGTACAGTACAGTACAGTACAGTACAGTATAGTACTCGATCTCCAGTTTTTCTAAGAGGAAAATAAAACCGATTTAACCCGAACAGCCAATCAGAAGCCGGAAAATTTTGCGCGTAGCCAATGAGACAACCAGCAGCAGGGATATCTAAAAAACAGGATTAAGCAAAAAGTTTAAAGTGTCCACACTGGATATCGAAATAGAGAATATTTAATCCCACAGTTTCCAGGTATTGAAGTTTGGGCCTGAACCAAGCCCTACCCCCCCAACCCCCTCTCTCACATAAATAGCGTTAGGCCCCTAAATTCTTAATGTTTGCCCCCTCCCCTGTATGATTCATTATAGAAAATATTTATGTTGCTTGAGTCAGTGTAAAACGTGTATTAGGATGACAACAAAGGTCAATTCTTGTTTTTTAGATCAACATATTTACCCTTTTCATTTTAAACCTTCTATTTTTTACCATTATACGGAGTAGATGTATTAAAATGTCTTGGAAACCCAGCTTTGCCTGGAATTTTCCCTTTAAAACCCGTTCATTTTTACAAATTTTGAAAGCAGGATAAGAAAATCCTAGCTCCCCGATCAAAATTTAAAAAGGGACTGTTAAAGAAAAATGAAAGGGGGTACAGGGTGAAATCTAAACACTTATACCTCTATGAGTTCCATATGATGTCCCTGTCTCGCGAAATTGATATACAACTGTTTCAACGTAATACCAAAACTAATATATTCTCATAATGGTTGCGATCAACTCCTGAAGTGTTTGACTTCAACCTAGTCACCCTTTCAATTTTCCTTAAAGGGAAAACGATCAAGAGCTAGGTTAAGATATGACGTTACGATATGAGATTACTACCTCTATATATATATTATATATCATCATGATATACAATATGAAGAAAAAATTATCGGGAATTTTGTGTTTTTTTTTACTTTTGTAAGAAATAAGATTTATGCTTGATTATATTGAATTTGGAAATTTCAGAATTCTTATAAAATAAAAATTGAATTTCTCCTTAATCAGAAGAAGCATGAAAATTGCTGACATGATATTTGTCAGAATAGATGGAAAGTGTAGTTTAACAAAAAAATCTTTTTTTAACTAAAACTTTGCATATACAATAAACTAAATGAAAGGAAAACCACATTTATGTAATTCTTTAGATAAAGGTAGAACCGCGGAACATATAGTGATAACCAGAAAACTCTGAAATAGTAAGACGACTTTTTGAATCCATTTAAAAAGTCCAATGAGCATGACACACAGAAATTGTTCAGTGTAAACAGACCCATTTCACTAAATTAGTGTCTAAAACTATTTGCTTTATAACAACATCAAATGCATTTTTAAGTAATTATATAAAGTCGTCTTCATATTCCGTTGTTTTCTGCTTATTACTGTTCAATGATGTAAGTGTGTATATTAATGTTACCTATAGATGACAAAAAGATCTAATTTAAAATTGTAAACAGATATCCCTGTAAACTGTTTAATATCAAATATGTATAAAAAAATCTTCCTAGAATTATCGTGTTATAAATTATGTATGGTTTTGAAAATACGTTTTTCATTCCTATCTGATGTTTCTGTAAAAAAATTTGAATTTGAATTTTGCCGACAACAGGATATATCGGATTTTTCGCAAAACTAAAAAGATAATGTTAAACTAACAAGAGAGCCAGAAAACTTTTGAATATAAAGACGACTGTTTGACTTGACTTTTGACATAAAATAGTCCAATGAACATAAACAAAAACAATCGTGCAGTGTAAACAGATCCATTTAAGTTTATACGTGATTTAATTAAAATGTTAAGCTAGTTGCTTTAAAGCAACATCAAATACACTTAAGTATTGTTTAAATACTTAAGTGTATTTGATAATAATTAATAATCTTTTTTGTTTGTTTATTATCTTGCGGTTTTTAACAATATTTTTATTCTTTTTATCGATTTTGATGGTTATTATATCGTTAGAGCTGACAAGGGTCAACCCAGACCGAAATATATTTTCAATAAATGTGGAACTAACATCTACTTTTTTTTACTCTACAGAGGTTTGATCCATCAACATTACCGAATTTTAAACATTGTTTTAATGTTGTCTCCTATTCCATAGTTTTGTGGTTCTCACTTGTGCTTACCTGTCATACCAATGTGGGCTGTAGGTAGAATAAACGGAATAGATTTAGTGAAGGCTGGGTGGCTTGGAGCAGCGTTCCAAATCAAGGGAACTAAATAAATAGATTTAGTGAAAACTAAGTGTCAACAGAACTAGATAAATTCATTTAGTGAACACTGGGTAGCTCGGAGTAGATTTCCATATTAATGAAACTAAATAAATGGATTTAATAAAGGCTTTAGTGGCTCGGAGCAGAGTTCAAATCAAGGGAACTAAATAGATTTAGTGAAAGCTGGGTGGCTTGGAACAGTGTTTCATGTCAACGGAACTAGATAAATTCATTTAGTGAACACTGGGTGGCTCGGAGTAGATTTCCATATCAATAAAACTAAATAAATGGATTTAATAAAGACTTTACTGGCTCGAAGCAGAGTTCCATTTCTACGGAACTATATATAAACGGTTCAGAGCTTAATATTCCAATTTACATTTGATCATTACTCAATTTTTATAATATTGCCAATAACAAAGGAAATAAAAAGATAATGATATAAAAGAACAGAATGTAATAATATGTTCTAACATAATATTGATATCTAAAAAAATGCCATATATTATACAATTTATACAGTCCGGTTTGCGTTAATAGGTTTCAACGCAAAATTCTACCATATTTAAAAACTTTATTGGTTGAATTCATAAAATTGTTCTCTATAGGGCCATGTTATTAAAACTTAGTATTATGATTATGTTTATTAAAAAATAGACAACTCTGAAAGTGAGTTATCAAATTTTAAACAGCCACAACTTAAAATTAAAGCAAGTGGCAAAATACTGTTTGATTTATGAGTGAAAGCGTTTCACATGTTGGTTTGGACTGTGATTAATCATCTAAATGGATTATGTTTCACATGTTGTTTTGGACTGTGATTAATCATCTAAATGGATTATGTTTTTATCACATGTTTATAACCCAATTCTGTCCCAGTTACACCCAACTGTAATAGGATAATGGAAATTTCTATAGAATAGAAAATAAATAGAGAGAATATCAGATGGTCTTTTTTAATCTATCATTTCTTTTCTCTGTGAAATTATAAATTACATATGAAAATACAGACCACTGTTTCGCAAAATACAGCTTGTACATCACCCGTTCAAAACCTGTGCAAAACCTGTACATAACCTGTTCATAAGCTGTACAAAACCTGAACATAACATTTACATAGCCTGAACATAACTTGTACATAACCTGTACATAACCTCTAAGTAACCTGAAAATAAATTGTACATAACCTGTACATAATCCGTACATAAGCTGTACGGATTTTACTATATAAACTGTACATACCCTAAGAATTACCTGTACATAAACTATGCATATATCAGCTGAATATAAACTTTACATCTCTACAAAACCTCTATAGAAACTGTACATATCCTGTGCATAGCCTGTACATAACATGCACATAAACTATTCACATCATGTACCTAATCTGTACAAAACCTCAACTTAAACTTTACATACCCTGCACACAACCTGTATGTAATCTGTACAAAAAATGTATAGAACTGTACATGGGATTGTTAATTGTTATTAAAAATTCGTTTCGTTTTTATTTTTTCTAACAACGTAACATTTACATAACCTGTTCATAACCTGTACATATCCTGTACATAACATGTACATAAAATGTACACAACCTGTGCGAAACCTGTACATAACCTGTAAATAACATGTACATAACCTGTTCAGCACCCTTGTATAACCTGTCCATAACTAGTACATCACCTGTACATATCTTGAACTTAACCAGTACATAACATTTACATAACCTGTACATAACCTGTACAAAATATGTATACATAAAATTTACTTTACCTATACTTAAACCGTCCATAAGCTGTACAATACGTCTATATAAATTTGTACGGATCCAGTAAAATAACCTGCACATAAACTATGCATATCTTAAACATAAACTGCACAACAACTGTACGAAACCTGTACATACATGTGCATAACCTCTACATACATTAAACATAAACTATGCAAATCCTGTACCTAAACTGTACAAAACCTCAACATAAACTGTACATACCCTGAATATAACTTGTACGTAATCTCTACAAAAACTGTATATAAACTGTACGTATTGTTGTTAATTGTTTTTATAAACGATGGTTTTACGTTCTGTTTTTATTTTTTTCTAAAATCGATCGTTTCGCTTGGAAAAAAACTATTGATTTTAAAACAAACCACTCGTTTTGAAATTTCAAAAAATAAAAAGCGACCGTATTTGAAAGATTTTTTAACGCTCGTATATTTTTTAAACTATCCTTTTTGAAAACGATCATTTCCCATTTTTTTTGTAAACCGACCCGTTTTGTTTTCGTTTTTAACCATTTTTTTCAAACTTAACCTATCCGTCTGCTTAACGTTTTACGTTTTAAAAATTAACGGTTTTAGCCGTTCGTTAACGGACTCTTACGTTAATTTTCGAAACCTACGTTTCGTTATCTTTCGGAAATTTGCTTAGTCCTACGGCCGTATATAGCCTGTACAACACCTCTATATAACCTATATATAACAGGTACCTGTACATACCCTCTATATAACCTGTACATACCCTGTACATAAACTGTACTATAACTTATGCCAACCTGAGAATAGTAGTAACGATGCTATAAGGTAGAGTAAATCAAAGAATGATAAGAACATCATCAAACTAAATAATCAAGAATCAAATCTAGTTTTTAAAGTGACTGTAAACGTAATTTCACGTGACCATCCGTTGATGAATTGAAAGGTCCAATTCACCCTTCAAAGTTTTGTCTTATCAAGAGTGAATAAGATATACATGTTTTTGTTTCTGAAAATTGTTCATTTCCATTTATGGATTCTATACAAAAATGCAGGGTAAGGTTCCAGATTAAGGTTTCAAGGTTAACATTTTGAATAAGGCATGTGCCTCTTTAAAGGGCTGTTGGGTCATTTAAATTACGCAAAAAGTCCCTTTATAACAAATTTAAGTTTACAAAAAAACTCAGGTTTTAGGGTTCTCCCATGTACCATATTTCAATAGAAATGTCAACCAAATTTTTAGAAAAGGAAGTGAATTGAGTCTTTTCCACAAACTCTGATTTGCTAATCCCTAAATCTCTGCAACCAAATGTCTGCAGATCTTAGTTATTTCAAACAAAAAATTTTGCTAGATCAAAAAATCTAAGTTTGAAATATCAATGGTTTACACCATTAGATTGCAAAGGTATAGGGATGAGAAAATTTAGTTTGTGGCGAAATTTCTCAATTTCTTTTTTGCTTATTAAATATTTATAACAATCTAATCAAGCTTTCAGCGCAAGCTCTCAAAACCTAGAAGTACTTTTGCGTGAAAATACGTTATTAATTAATACAAATATATTTATCTTGTTGTTAACGTTGAAGTAAACACCTTTATATAAAAATGATTTTACCTATAAAACGGCTGTTTTCGATTTTTTCGGTAGAAAATAAATATGGCTCCTGAAAGAAAAAATAACATCATTATTTCTTGAATTTATACAACTTGTTACCTTGTATGATATATATAAAAGACTACAAAGGCGCAACGCGTTGTTTTTTTAAAGAAGTAAACCGGGCATACTGGACCAAAGAGCTTTGTAATATACAGAGTAGACATTGGGTTTTATTTGCAAAACTAGACTCTTCAATCGGGTTCAATAAGAAGCCATAGAACTTAGGATAAGATTTTAGGACTGTTTAAGCATTTCCATCATCAAAAACTTGCGTCTTTTGTGTAATTTGCCGTTAGAAATGCATAACTTTATATCTTTTTAGATAAACTTCATCTTAAAACAGATTGCAATGTAATTGGTTAAAAAGGTTTAGCTGCTTAAAACCAAGGTTTTTTCGGGCCTTGCTCACGTTACTGGCCTTATATTCTGCTTTAGACTATTACAAAACTAAACTTAATGACATCTTTTGACAAATTTTGTTTTAAAATATGTGGTATATATATATATGAGATGCGTAACAAATCACAATTTTAGCTTTATTTTAGCAGGAGAGTATCCGATGCTATAACTGATTAACCCTATCCCCGCTGGGGTACTTGAAAACCAGGATACGCTGGGGGGGGGTCAATTTGACCCCCCCCCTCTAAATCCCATGTTTTATGTCCAAATGTCCAATGTCCAATGATANCAAACAAACAAACAGACACCCAAGCCAAATTTATATATAGATATATATATAAATTTAACTTGTCTGGTGGACGTTTGGGTGCTTGTCTGTTTGTTTGTATCCAATAAACGTTAAAACGGCTGAAAACCGATCGGGCTCAAATTTTGTGCGGGACCTCACGTGAACCCAACGAAGGTTTTTTAATGATCAAAATTTTAAAAATTTGTATTTAAAATTTTTTATTTTTGTAAAATTTTAAAAATGCGCAAAAAAAAATTATGAAATCAGCAAACTTTTTTTTTGTTTTAAATTGTAAAAAGAGAAGATGCTCACAGATAAAGCCACAATTAAAAGTTGAAATAGAAGATGGGCGCGAAGTGTCCTAAAATCCTATTATGTATATAAGTAAATACCATATAATATCACATATAATATCACATAATTGTGGTGTAAAATGAAAGAGCTCTACAATACAAACAAAAACGTTTAGTATTTATGAAAAAGCATTGTAATTTCCCCTGTAAGCTATTTTTTCTCTAACTTCTCAAATGCTGAAGTAAATTGTTTACCTATATTTCCGAAAATACCAGAAACAGCACAGGTCCCTAAAAGAATACCTAGAAAGAAAAATTAAATCGTTATTGTTTTGTAGGATCTTCCCCCCCCCTCAACCCCATACTGCATTATTTTCAAGGATTTTAGTATAAAATAAGAGAAACTGTGTTTTTATAGTAAACTGATATGTGTATTATTAAATAATTGGGGCCAGGATATCTTTTACTTTCTTGTGTGAAGAACTATATTTTTAACGATTTATTTACTGGAAAGGTGAAATTAGTTGCCACTGTTTTGATAAAAATGTTAAGATCCTTTCAGCATGTGTTTTTCTAGAATAAAAAAGTAAATAAAACTTGAAATTTATTTTCTTACTATCAAATTCATTTAGCGCATAACGTGTTGTAAATTAGATATTGAATCTCACTCGCACAGTATATTATAATCAGAATTCTCAAAAATAATTTTTCTTTAGATTCAGAATTTTCCAGTTTGGACAACGTCGTACATGGTAACCATTAAAGTGATTAATTTTGATATCTTCTCCGATGTTTCTTAAGCAAGAAATGCACGACCACAAATAAAACAATCGGTTTTCATAACCAAAAACATGAATTTATAACTTATTCTTGATTAGACAATGCTTTTAAGGGTACTGTTGTAAATATGATATGCCACTCTATTAATGGAGGGTAATTTAAAATTACGTGTCTCATCGGAGAATAGGACATTAAAACTAACTTAAACTTAAAGTCTTATTTTATTAAATCTTTGTAACCAATTAAAGAGTCTAAAATGGGAATACGTTGTCCCTTTAGTTTAGTGTGTGCGTATCAGAGATACGAGAGTTACAGAGATCAATTATCAGCTAAAATATGCACAGCATGTTCCATTGTGTACAAGTACTGTACACGACCAATCAGCAAACATCTGTATTCAGCGATATTTAAGGATCCTTTGGATACGAAATACAAAATCTTCAAAAAAGACTGAATTCATAAATGTTATGTTTCATGTTTAAATTTGGAGTATTTCTTTAAAGGTTGTAAAACTTAACCCCTGAATGGGTATGTTATTCAACAAGTGGCCGTGAGATGGCACTCTAAAACCCTATCGGAAAAACGTAACATGACGTGCCGGGTCAACTTAGCCCACCCTGTGAAAGGAGATAAGCAGTCTGTATAGTCTATGCAGGTGCATATTTATGGCGACTAAGAATGTTGATAAATGATATGATGCTAGCTTGTATTAGGGGCACGTTGGGGGCATACTCCCATATTTCTTTATTATTATATATTTTCTGTTTCATTAATTAATGTATATTAAACTTGGGAAAGTAAATTAATAGGTTAATACACATTTAGAAGTATAAACCGTGTCGCTGTTTTCCCACCATTTTTAACACCTACAATGATTGATTTATTTGATAACTAGAGTTTTACTGTTGATTGTTTGAATTTAAAACCAATACTGCAGCCAACGACGTCATATAAAGTGTACAGAGCGTACGGAGCGTACACACTATTCGGATATATTCTAATGCCCTATCTTCTTCTTTTCTAGCGTCTTTGTACTGAACTAATTATATGGCTTAAAGCTTCATCTTGAATTCAATCGCGTTTATGTCTAAAATTTAAAAACCTTTAAACTGAGGTTTTTTTCACTTATTAAAATCTGCCGACAAAACATTATTGAAGATAAAACTATTTAATCAACTTTGGGGGGGTGGGCATATATTTAATCAATTAAATAACGCTAGACTCATCTTATATTTCATTCATTTTCTGCAAACACATCACTTCGCTAGATCCTTCTTCCAGCTCATCGAGGGAGGGTTTGCTGGGCCAACATGAGCCCCATTAAATGGTTTCCAAGCCGTTGCTTATTTGCCTTCCAATCCCCCAAAACAACGAGCACTGCGTTCTAGTTTTTTTTTCTTTTTTCTTTCTTTAATCAATCTGTATTTCTTCCATTTTTCTTCTTTTTCAATATACTCTTTGTAATGTCTTTTATCGTTTTCATTTTCATTTAAATCATTTAAAATACTGTTTGTATTGTCTTTTATCATTTTTCATTTACATTTAATTCATTTTAAATATACTCTTTATTTACTATTTATTTTCAATATATTCTTTATTTATTTACTATTTATTTTCAATATTCTCTTTATCTATTTACTATTTATTTTCAATATGCTCTTTATCTATTTACTATTTATTTTCAATATGCTCTTTATCTAGTCACTATTCATTTTCAATATTCTCTTTATTTATTTACAATTTATTTTCAATATACTCTTTATTTATTTACTATTTATTTTCAATATTCTCTTTATTTATTTACTATTTATTTTCAATATTCTCTTTATTTATTTACTATTTATTTTCAATATACTCTTTATTTATTTACTATTTATTTTCAATATATTCTTTATCTATTTACTATTTGTTTTCAATATTCTTTTTATTTATTTACTATTAAATCTCTATTTACTCTTTATCTATTTACTTTTTATGTTCAATATACATACATACATGGTTACCCACAAAGAGGCTTTAAAGAGGATGCCACGGAATTTATTGAATCTGCTTTTATACTTTCATGGTTTCCTTTTATGTTGTTTCTTTCTTCACCAAATGTGCTAATATACCGGTAAAATAATGTTTTTTAGTCAGGAACCAAAATTAATCCTTCAAATAATTATATCTAAAGAGATGTTAGTAAAGTCTTTTAGTGGATAAACCTGTAGCTTAACTACTGTTCACTCAATCATAAATTTCTAACTTGGAGGCACAAGGGATTAAAGCTCGTTTGAACATAAACTATATTAAAATTATTAGATACCAAACCCAACAAGATTTTCAAGGACAAAATGTATTGTTATTTAACATTTTTATTTAATCTATCAAAGAATGTAAAAATTCAGCAAAAACACACTTTAAGTTTTTGGAATGGGACAATTATAAAACATAAGGTAGTCACTTAAATCCTTATGTCTTTTCAACGTTAGAATTGTTTTGTTGTTGTTATTTTTAAAGGAGATAGAAGTATAAAAGACTAAGGAGAGGACAAAAGTGATTATTTACATACTCTGACCTATTAGAAAAGTTCTAAAACTATTGAGTACTAGAAACCTCTTAAAGATCTCTTAAAGATCTAAGTTATTATTCTAAATAATCAAATGAACATAGCACCTCAATTGTTCAGTGTGCTCAGATCAAGTACTTTATAAAGGATTTTTTTGCTACTAGTATAACTATTAGCTCTGTAACAATATCAAATTTTACAGTTTAAATATTGCTATAATGCAGTCTATTTCACAATTTTCTGGTTTTCACTGTAAACTCTATTTATAATTTACACTTTGACACTTTTAAAACTTCTGTAAAAATTTTAACACTGGTACGCATTTGTACCACGGTATAACGTGTCATAGTCACCAAAATACTTTGTACAGTAAGAACCATAATACTTTGCAACAGGAAGACGACTTTTAGACTCAAGTTATGACTTTAAATAGTTCAATGAACATTAGAGACTGCAATTGTGCAGTGTATACAGCCCTCTTTTACTTAATAAGTGATTTAATAAGTTACTAAAGACTGAAAGCTTTGTAACACCAATAACTGCACTTTCTTTTTGTTTTAATGTCGTCTCCCTATTCCATAGTTTTCGGGTTATCACTGTAGTTTACTATTAAATGAACTGTTACTGTTATTTCATGTGATCCTCCATATACCAATATAAATGCCGGATTTACAACGGTACCCTTAACATCTATGCCTGAATAAATATGAATTAGAACTCCATGTTTTATCAGAATTATCGGAATAGAATGCTTTTCTATAACATTCTTGATCAAATTAAGGTTTCAAGGGTGCCGACTGCCGATGTCAATAGAAGGTGGCCATCTTAAAATTAAGCTTAAAATTAAAGTTTCTTACTAAACAGTGATATACTGGGTAATGTAAGGAAGAGGAGTGTTATACTAAAGTTGTTTCAATATTTTGTTCATCGATGAAAACAGCAATTGTTCAATGTTCAGTTGAAAGAGACCCATTTTAACTAATAAGTTGGTTTTCAAGCTAAACTGTTTCTTTGTAACAACATCATATGCACATTAGATAAAGCAAATATCATCTTAATTCCTTTTTCACAGTTTTGTTGGTTTTATTGATATTTTATTGTTCAACCTTAAAGGGACAGGGTACATGTCTGATTCACAACACGGTGCCTTGGGAACTTTTATTTGAACCACAATGTGAAAGAAATCTTAAAAAGTGCTTCTGCAGCAAATACCTTCATTCTACTGCTTAACTAACTTGTATATAGAAACCACTTGATCGATCATTGATCACGCACCTCTGCCCCTTAAGTAAAAGTAAATTCAACCTATATGAAGCATAAATTCTGACCGCGTCAACCTTGCTGGACCGGCTAGTCCTGTTCATAGAGCTAGGTACAGTACACACTGGGATCGGAAAGGTTGACCTGGCTCGGAAATTCAAATGTACTATGGCTCCCGTGAGATGCCAGTGCCACTCTTTAAATGTATAGTGTTACATGCAATTACGTCTTCACGCCCCTAATATGTTCAATTTCAATTCCCATAATATTTATTAAACTTAACAATCAGTTTCCATTTTTGGTTAATTTGTTAACGCTTTATTCGTTATTTCTCATGCAATTAGTAAAATTCTGAACATAATGTTAGCGCAGTTTCTAACAACACAAACATGTTCGATATTCATTAAAGTAAATGACGACTGGAGTTATAAGGTTGCAAAACCGGAGTGGTATGGTCAGTGGTGGGATGAGAGTCGGCGGTAAACTGGGCGGTATCCTCTTCGATGAGAAACCTTGCTCTCCGATAAGACCAGAGAATCATATCCGATGAGTCCAGGGAAACTCCGGTCTTTGAAGATATTCTCTTTTAGCCATTTTTATACTCCTATTAAACTCCTACTCATGCTCCTATACTCCTATTCCACTCTTACTCCTACTCCTATTCCACTCCTATTCCTACTCCTACTCCTACTCCTACTCTTACTCCTACTC